TCACTGGGGTATACCAAGGCTGCCTCACTGAGAATACGAGATTCCTGTGAGTTTTTTGTTTTTTGAATGCAGGTAGAACTTGCAGAAGAATTACGATCAAACTTATTGATCAGTTTCCAATTAAATGTGTCTAAATTTTGGATTTAGCTTGTGATTTTGACTTGGTTTCCATTGATAAAAAATAATATACATGTACCCTAACCGGGCTAATGTTTGATTGAAATTTGGTGTTTGGAAAGTGTTTAAAAAATTAGAGATTATTACAAATCCAGCTCTGAGATGGATTTTGTAAAATGGTCTGTTTAAGTTTATTGATGTTTCTTCTAAACACTCCCCCTCCCATTCTGCTGTCAATTTCCCAGAAATATTGGCTCAAAATCGCTCGGCCATATTTTGTGTTAATGTAAACATAAAAATTGTCCTTTCTGAAATGTTATTTTGAGCTTCGGAGGGTAATCTTTTTTTATAGGAGCTCTGGATGATCCTTGACGTGTTAAAATAAAGCCACAGCTTGTGGGTCAGTGAGAACATATAAACAGAAGATGGTGTTTCAGGAGAGGGGCCATTTTGCTGGAATGTCAAGGAGCTGAACTTGTCCAAACACAGAGGGTACATAAAACTTCCCTGGGTGAAGGAAAAACCTTCTAAAGGAATGGAATTTTGGAGGGATTGTGTTAAGGTCAGTGAGAGGTGATTGAAAGACTGTGGATGCTGGCCAGCACCACAATGAAACATTCTTGTTTTAAATATGGAGGTACTTTATTTCTGTAAGTTCAGGTGTTGACATGGATTCCTACATGTGTGTGATTATCCAACTGCATGTAGTTTGACCACTGAGAGGTTTCCTGAGATGCAGCATTTCTCAGGGCTGATTGTTAATTAGCTTGATGTGTGAATTCATTAATTTTCCCAATGTATTTTTAATTCTTTAAGTTTATCGTGTGGATTGGGAAAGCTTCACGTGGACCTTCATGGTTACAAAATGCAGAACAAGTTAATTTTCTGCCTTCAGTTCTTCTTGGAAGAGAGAATTTCAGGCCTCCAGGATCTGTAAGGAAGCTGAATGAATGTTCTTGCCCAGATCACACCAGTCTTCTCGCACTGCTAGCTATGGACGATGTCCCCCTCATGTATCTCCTGCCTCCTTAAATTGGAAACAAATGCTCAAACCACAAAGCGTGTAACCAGGTCAGCTCCCCACTAGGCAGCGTGTTGTAACCCCCCCTCCCCATCACTGCCGTCGTGACCTCTCAATCTCATGAACGCCCTAGTTGACTCCGCTTGCCATAAACTATTTGCAAAAAAATGTGGCGACGGGTGTCAAACAAAAATTTACTGAATTTGGAGTGTGACAAGGTACCATTTCTGAGTTCACAGGAGTCAGTTGGTTTTTTTCCCCTCCAAATCTGGGCTTTAATTTTCCAAGTGTGGCATTATCTAGTGTCACAATCACTTACAGGTTTCTTAAGGAGCCAACTAAAACTCTTGAATAACTTCATCGCATTGTGGACCATTTTGGCAGATACTCATGCAGCAAAGAAAGAAGCCACAATATTTCAGGTCTAATCGAACTCGTTTTTCCAAAAAATGAAGCCTGAAGACCAGGATGGGGATGAAGTCACAATTTAAGAAACCCCCCATGTTCACCGATTGCTTTGCGGTCCGTAATGGGATCCCGTCAAGGGAGGCGGGCGTTAATTCCAACAGAATTTGTGGGATGTTGCACGTGTGAGTGCTGCCAGGTTGCCCAACTGCTGTGAGAAGGGTTAACATTAATGTACAGGAAGTCATGTCTGATTCACAGATTGCCTGTGACAACAACTGCACCGCTTATGTTGCCCAGTTGTGTGGATAATTTGGAATGACACATATAATTGTACACACTGTGGATATCTGCACAGATCTGCCATCTTCCCCCCTAGCGTGCACCATCTGTCAGCAAAGGATCCCGTTTAAATGTACAGAGAAACGTTGTGAAATTTAGAACTGATACAAAAGATCAGGGAAGGAAACAACATGCGAATGCTGTGCTTGCTTAAGAAATAGTTAACATGAAGTTAGACCTACTTGGGCTTGTTATTTTTTCGTGTAGTCTCTCTGAGCTAGCCAGAAATGTTTTTGATCAGTTTTTCAATCCTGTAATAACAGTGCTGAGTTTCTGCATTGACAATTTGACTGACATGTACATGCATAGTGGCCTTTTTAAGTGTACATGTCCAAATTTTGGGTGTCTCTGGCACTGATGTGTGTACATAAATGTTCAATTGGAGCGTGCAGTTCAGACTTTGAACTTTTATTTCAAGATTGTACTGTAAGTCATCTGTTATGAGAATAAACATGTACAAGTAGGTTTGCATGTGGAATTCATGACCTTTCAACCCCCAAAAAGTAAAAGATGTGATGATTGGTTTGTTTTAAAATTAAACCCAAATCATGCAGATGTGAAATTCTGAAAGTTTGCTTGAGCTACTCAGATGTTGTGCTTTGCAGACTGACTCTACAACTCAGTGTTCAAAAAGTCTTCAGAAGTGCAGTGTACTTCAGAAATCGAGGTCTGTGATGTACCAGCTTTGTTTAACACATGCATAAAAAGGCTGGGTATTTTGCACCAGGCAATTCCACTTGGTCACTCTGTTACCGTCTTCAGTGTCATGGTAATTGTTTTAAAGAAACAAGTTTTGAAAAAGGGAAATAGTGGAAGTAATAAGTAGTACAATCAACTTTAAACTCTACTTGATTTATTATGTAAAATGTCCTTTTCTTTGTGATTGATTGACGATGAGGTGGATAACAGTACAGAAATGTCTTTCGTTGGAGAAACTGTGAAAGATTCGTAGCACAAAGTTGACCTGTAGGTAGGGATCCAAGTATTGATGAAACGTTCACCGTTTTAGTTATTTGATCATTTGAATGACAACATAATCATTATCCCCATTCAGGGGTGAGATTTCTCAGCTTTTTAGCTGAGTTCAAGTTTTTTTGTTTTGGCTTTTTTTCCTCACTGGCTGTGAACAAAAGTATAAGGGATTTTCACAGTTCAGCTTCGTTATGTCTTTTTCGGCTGTTTGCAGCTATTTTTATCATTGGTCAATCTCATCCCTGCCCATTTTCCTCAGAGAAATAAATTTTCCTTCCCTTGCTACACCAATTTTTTCTGTGAAAACAGCAAAAATGTGCACACTGCATGTGGGTGTTCACACGAGAAGGATCAACAGTTGCTCAGAGTGTCAAAATACTGATTGGGAACGATGCAGGATTGTTATTGAGGGCAATGTCTGGAGCTTCAACTCTGTAACCCCATCACTCCTTTACCTGCTGGTCAGGGATAACCCCTACAGAATGCCCCGCACAGTAGGCCTGTCTGCTGGCCCAGTCAGGGTGTGGGATCCATCATGAATCCAATCTTGCTGAAGTCTTTGTCCCTTCCGACTTTACATTTCTTACATAAATCAATTGTAAGCCCAGTTGGACACTCCAATATTGCTGTATCTACATGTACATGCACTGTACATACTGTGCGTCTATGAAAATCCAAAAACAAAAACACAAGATTTGTAACGCATGGATATACATGTACATGTAGATGGTAGCTGCATAGGATACTGAGCTTTGAGACATGCACTCAAAGGAAATCTCTTTTTTTTAGATATATTCCGCATGTTGAAAAACTTGATGGTAGCAGGCCAATGCAATAGAATTTTAATGCAGTCCATACAAATGTATCCCTGTGTCCCGTTGTCATTGTCTCATGTCCATGCCTTTTGGGCTTGTATTCTATTGCAAACTTGCATTTTCTCATTTTCTGATTGATTAAAGTTAGTAAAGGGAAGAACTTCACACCGCTGAAAATAATGACTTCCTGTTTTATTAGCCCTACTGATTGGTATCAAAGCCTGAATTACACCTTCCTGTTTGTATTCAGAGAGTTAACATATGAAGTCATCTGACAATTCCAAATCAAGACAACTTGGGTTCAGCACACTTTTCAGTGGCACTTATCAGTATAACTGATATTCAAATGAACTATGTCCACCCACGGCCATCTTCTCCAAAGTTCACATTTTCTTTACCGCATTTCCGACCTGTCTTTTTCTCCCATAAGTTACTTTAGCGTGTCATTTTCAATGACTTTCACGAGCCGCTGCCTGGCGTTGTTCAAACATACCACAGATGTTCTGAGTTTTTGGGCCCACATTACAGGAGTCCAGCTTGTAAAGTTTGTCAAGGCCGCACAAAAAAAAATTGTGTTCCAGGGTTGCTCTGGATCCTGTTTGCCCTGAATGCCAACAAGAGATGAAATATAATACACTGGCCCGGGGCCACATGAATGCACTCCTATGTGCATTGTACATGTTCAAAAGGGAACACTTTTTTGGTATTACAATTTACATACTCAGTTTGTTATTGTAAAGGTTTTTCCCACTCCTCGCACGTACATGTGTAGTTAGAAGATTTTCACCATGAGGAAAAAATTGATGCACTGTATTCTGAAGTAAAGCTGAATGTTATTTTTTAGGCTTAATTTCTTAGGACGATTAATTGGCTTCATTTTAACACACTACATCATACAGATACATATTTGATTCCCTTCCTAATTTCATGGTCCTACAACAGTAGAAATTGCCAGTAATTCAACCCTTCTTTTGTATTTGGGGGTATCCGTCTTCTTTGGATCTTGGCCACTGGAGCAAACAGGTTTAGAATTAGAGAGTAGAGAAGAAATTCATTCAGGTTCCTTCAGTGGCATACACAAGGGGATGGGGGTAAGTTGCGGCCTTGCCTTCCCAACAACGAATCCTGGGTGTGCCACTGGGCGCCTCTGACCAACTTGGCTTTTTACACTCACATTTTTTTCTCCTACATTCTGTCGGGAGAAAGTTTTTTTTGCATGTTACAGACACACTCAAGATTAATCTTGAATCTAGTTTCACTGGATTCAGGAGGATGCATTGTTGGCTGAAGGCTTCATGCATTGTCTTCTTTTGTTTTGTTTGTTGTAGTTCAGAGTTACGACAAGTTAGACTTTCTGATACTGACCGGCTACCCTCTACCTAATGGGGTTAAATTTGCCGAAGGTCTCCATGGGGCTTCAGCTTTTCATCTTGAGAAGGGAACCAACATCGGCCGCATGGCATTTGTCATCTTCCCGACTGATTTCACGGAGCGGTTCTCGGACTTCACCCTCCTGGTGACCATAAAGCCTGAGTCAGAGGATGTGGGTCCCCTGCTGGTGGTCACAGACAATCTGCAGAAGACGGTCATTCTGGCCCTGAATGTGACCCAGGCGGGGCAGGATCGGCACCGGGTGGAGCTGGTCATGCGGGATGTGGTGACGGGCACGCCGGCTAGCGCCTCCTTCCTGGTGCCCTCACTGACGGACCGCTGGTCGCAATTCTCGCTCAGCATCATCAATGACATGGCCACACTCTTCTTCAACTGCAGCACCTATGACAGCGCTTCACTCGCACGTCCGGAGGGCTGGCGGCTGACAATACCACAGAGTGGGGCGGTCTTGGTCGGTAACCAGGGCTCCAGGCTAGGAACAGTGGCCAGCTTTGAGGTATTACTACAAATCAGTCAAATTCGGTTGGCCTCCATGCATAAGCACTCACTCAGAAGTAATGAAGACCATATGGCGGGCAACAACGTGAAAATCACTTGTACTTATTTCATGCCCTGTCCACACTAACAAACTCAGTTGACCCAAGGGGGGCAGTGCTCCTTGGCAACAATGCCCCCTCTCTCACTTTTGCATGGAGTCCGCAACACATTTCCAGCTGTCTGGAAAAACAACATTGTATCTCAGTGTACTTCCATCTTCTGGTCCATCTGTCAGCCACTGGCTGATTTTGCTGGTGAGCCATCAGTGAAGTGGACATAACAAATTAATGAATCTGCATACCCATGAGAGATAAATGTTGGCTGCTTACTTTTGTGTGTTGGCTGTGTCATAGACTCAGTTTTTCACCATTAGTATCAGGGGAACCTGGGTGCAGAGTGGTGAAATGCAGCAACCTGGAGATTTCAAAAGCCGCATCAGGGTCACTGGTCAAAGTTAAGTCCAGGGCAGTGAAAGTAGCAATGGTGAAGGGGGGGTGGATGGGGCAATGGGGCCATGCCTCTCCCCCATGAAGCTGTATTTTTTTGGCGAAATAAGTGAAATAAGAGAAAGGCAGTTTTGTTTGGGTCAGTTTCATCTCCCTACCTTCCAAAACCATAAAAAACCTCAAAGCCTGACCCCTCAGAAAAACCATTAAAAAGGTACATGAAAATGTCCAAATATTTGAGGCCCCCCAGAAAAAAAAAAAAAGTTTGCCCCCTCAAACAGTTGGGTTCTGGATTCATTCTTAAAGTAGATGAAAGAAGCGTTGAAACATGATACCAAACTATCCCTGTCTCAACTTATTTTTAGGCATATCTTACTGTAGTGTCTTCATTGTGCACAAGTGAACTAAACTGGGCAGGAAATTGTATTTTCCAGTAGGCAAACAAAACCTGGGCTATACTGTGTGCTCTGTTAATTGATTCTTCCATTTTTGTCATTGCCCATCTTCCTTTCTTGTTTGTTTAGGGCACAATTCAAACGCTGGAGATGTCCAATGACCCAGATGCGGCAGAGGTGCGATGTGACAGTGAGCCAGAGGTATGTCAACCTTAGTAACGGTTCATTATTCATTACCTCCCCCCCCCTCCGTTGCAGCTCAAATTCACATCTTGTGTCAGTCCCCTTATAAGTTTTATAAGATGTACTGAAATGTTAACCTCATTGCATTGCCCCCTCATTGCATTTTCCATAATTACCAAAGTCTTCTCACGGGTGAAAGATAAGTCTCTCGTACTATGCTTCTTGCCATGAAGTACATGTAATTTTTCCTTCCTCTGTTTTGCTTTAACCTCATACAGTCAGTTAGTTTTTTCAAGTTTCCTTGATACTGGCAAATCCTGTGACCCCTCAAGCTTTGGTTTTGATACTCTATAAGAGGAGTTGCCTTCCCAGCCCACACTGCTCGTTCATAATTCTGAGTGTCTCAAACCAAGAAAGGAACTGTTACTGGAGAATGCAAGTCATTTCATTTTCTTCAACAGCCTAAGCTTTGGAATGACAATCCAGAGGTTTTAAGCTCTTTGGCCCCAATTTCACTGAATCATACGTGCTTAACCGAAAATTTTGTTCTGATCGTTATCAAATTCAGGCCTCTGCGTAGAGATATCAAACAGAAAACGTTTAGACAATTTTGGTTTCTTTGGGCATTTTTGGGGCAATAATGAAAACCATTTTAGAGCAAATGCACTTTATAAGGAATATCTGAAGTCATTCTGAGAAATCAGTTAGTTGGAGGCAGTGCTGTATTGGGGTCCTTTCCGAAGTCTTCACATTTTATGTGATATGAGGAAACTGGGAAGCTACAGAGGTGCTTTGACACTCTCATCACAACCTCAAATTTTGGGGCTGACTTGACCACCTATCAGGCTTTAATCAGTTCACATTTCTGTGAAAGTGACACTGAGGTATTCTGAACATGCTGAAAAGGACTCAACCACAACACTGGCCCCAGGTGGAAGGAAACAGTCAAAGCTGTGTGCTTTGCTTGGATACATGCATTATATATTCTGTCCACTTGGATTGAAAGATGGTGTTTTGCCACCAGGAAATGCTCACCACAGCATTCTCAAACTGGTCTCAATGCCGCTGTAGAAGAGAAGAGAATTCTTTCGCAGCTTGTTTTGTGTTGCTCTTGCAGCTTGCTGGTAGAACATATCATTTGCAAATCAGCAGGGTTTAGCTCAGTCATACTTTTTTGAAGACAATGAAATCCTTAATCCTCATTGACCGTAGTCAGACAGTGGAAAGCTTTGAAAAAACCAAGTGAATGTGTTTGAAAATGCCGTTGAAGGTAACAGTCTTCAAGGTTCTTTTTCTGCTAATTATTTGCCATCCACTGTCTGACTGCCACAAACAGAAGCAACTCTTCTCCATTCCAAACAAAACGGATCAACTCATGCTTTCCCACAGGCACGCTCATCCAAATCCCAAACTGGTGAAAAGTTTTTTCCCTTCCATTTTGATTCCTAACCCCTGCTTTTGGGCTTTACTGACAGCCTCCAAAGCAAAGACTCTACAAACGTGAATCTTCATCCTCTGCTCTCGCCGATGCTTTAATAACAAACAAAGACATCCCTGCTCAGCCATCAAACTCTATGCTGAACGGATCCGTGGTCAGTATACTGTGGCATGTCCATTGAACAGGAATCAGTCTGCACGACCATCCGTTCATCATATCTACGTATTTGTATTTTTTTTTGCATCCCTCACTCTCGCTCATTTGCATCTTCCGATATTATTTTCTGGGTACACTTTCCATTCTCGAGGGTTAATGTTTCGCCCTCTTCCTTTTTAAAGGAGCAGTCATATCACTCATTGTGATGTGAGATAAATAGTGACTGTTCCTGGAAGTGCTGACTGCTCCTTTAAGCATATACAATCATCAACTCATCTCCACTTAGCATTTTGTTTGTTTATTGCATCTCACCTCCATAAAGATATTGAATATATTGATCAAAGTATAAAATCAAAATATATGTATTAACATCATTTTTGATGTCATAGCCAGTTAAATAATCTGTATGCAGTCGGTGGAGGGGTACCAGCAGGTGTGGAAGAACTGCATATATTTTTTTAACACTTTGTGTTATTTATGCACCATGTACGCATTTTCTTAATGTACTTTTTTATAACACCAGGAAATCAAATTGCATTTTTTTACATGCTTGAAGGAAATAACTATAAATATATCTATCTATCTATCTAACTATTAATTTCTGCACTTTTCATCATCCAGTTTAAGTTTTCAGTTTAGCTACACTCTCACGCATGTAACTTATTGCGAATCACCCACACCTACAACGCTGCACATTATCTGTTAAAAGAAATCCCAGCACAATAAGGTGTGATCAAAAGATATCAAAGTACCATGTGATCGACCACATGGTTTACCAAGATTGGTCACTGTGGCAGTAGGCAAGCATTTGGTTAATGACAACACATTGTGCATTTTATACCAGACAGTGAGGCTTATTTTCACTCAAAATAGCCATAAATTCAAAGAGCCAGAGAAAAAGGATTTTCGCTGTAGTGACTGCAGCATTGGGTGCCTGCTCTATACTTGTAAAATGTTCTTGTATTTTTGCTATCTGTCAAACCTTTGAAGGCTTGCCCACTGCCTGCAGGCCAGTACTGAGCTTGGTGGCACAGTCTTTGCCTGTAACAATGGTGGATGTATGTTGGGTCATGTGGGTCAGCATGAATGCCCTGTTGTTACATCACCAAGATTATTTTCCTTCCAAAGTGCTAGAGCAGACTTTCTCCTTTTTTACCATTTGTTATATATTTCTGGCATCTTATTTATCCTTGCCTCTTTACATTTTGCCACTTGCCCTCCCTTTGATGCTTGTGCCACTGCTGATTACCAATGATGATCTGTTGCTATGGCTTGTTTCTATGGCTCGTTACCATAGCACGTTGCTATGCAGACCTCAGGCTTTAACAGTGGAGGAGTAAAGTCGAAGGTAAACACATGGTGACTTGCTGGTTATTATTTTTGTTAACCTTAAAAGTTGAAAGTTTTGTATAAGCTCGTAGTTATAGTATCAAATGAAAGATATATCTTCTTGGCATACATGGACACTATTTTACACTGTTTTTTGTCCAACAGTATAAACTTAAACAGAGACCCACTTCAACAAAAATAAGTTCCATGAATTAAAGATTCATGTACCTGCAATTTATACATGTACCTGCCCTGAATCCTTGACGAAAGTGGATAAAGATTTTGTTTTACATGCTTGGTCTTTTGAATCTTCAGTCTTACAAAAGAAGCATTATTTGAGATGATTTGGGCAATGACAACTTTTGTGTGGTTTCCTAAGTTTCTAACTTTCACAGCCAGCTGTCTCCATTGAAACGTTTTAAGCTTAACCCAAATTCCACAAACTTCAGTTTAGTGAAGAAATCATTTTGAAAGAGTGGGTCACGAAAAATAAAGAACATGCAGTCGCATGACTGTCAATAGAGTTTGAACGACAAGTACCATGTACGCGTCTGGGTGCGACACAGAGATGCCTGGGATCGTGATACTGCCATCACCTTGCATGCTCATTGCCTCTTTGTACACTTGTTGCCAGAGAATCACGGAGGGCCTGTTTGTTTCACGTGAATCTGGATCACTATCAGTGATCTGTCATTGGTTTACAGCAGTGTTGTAGTCAAGTACTTTTTTCCGAGTACAGAGTTCTACCGAGTACTCTAGATGTCTGAGCACATAAAAGTCTGAGTGCTTTGCCAACCAAGTACGAGTACTTGTATCTCCAAGTATGAGTACGAGTACTTCTAATTCGCTAAACAAAAGAGCTGCGCTTTGACATTTAATTCCATTTTGTACAAATTCTTAGTAGGGCCTACTCTTTGCAGCCAATTGCACTAATGTCGATACAGATACATTCTTATATGATAGCTACCGGTATACATGTACAGGTATTTCACCAGCTGATTCAAATTCATAGATCCTTCAATGTTATGGGAGAAGCACCGGGCAACGTGTGCTTGCACATGGCCATGTACATGTACAGTATGTGAAATGTACACTCACACAAGACATACACTCACCGTCAACTATGACATGTATTTGTACTGCATGCACCACATGTATGGTGAAGTCTGCTTTCCAGACTCTTATTCTAATGCCCGTGTTTTCTGTATGCTATATGTGTCATCAGAATTTTCAGGTATAGACACCGGGCTAGCAACACCCAAGTTAATCTAGAGACCATTCTTAGGAATACCTTGATCTTGGGTCCAAGATGCCTTTCGTGGTGCTTCAATCTGTCAGTGCAGTGTGTGGTGAATAATGCAATTTACTGTGACCACCCTCTTTTCAGGCATACCAGCCACTTCCCGTGATAGCGATTAATTTGATGATGGTTCGTGTCATGGAATAAACTGGAAGGTCTTGAAATCAAGACTAGGAATAATCAGTAACCCAGCATATAAGCCAACGGTGGAGGAACAATTTTCAAAGTGGCAGGGCCATTTGTTAGACCATCAGGCATCAGCCATTAATAGGCCTATCCATGAAGCCCCGCCCCATTTTAGGCCCTGCAAAAAGTCGGGAGGGGGCAGTGGCCCCCCTGGTCCCACCCCGCTTTTGCCACCAGTGCCCACAGACTTTGTGCCATTACACATGTATGTAAATGCTCCCACATGCTTCCTGTGTGAGGCCCTCTGTTTGTCAGACACCGAACATTGTCCGTGAGGGTTGATTTTCTTGTATCATTGTATTTTAATGGCTTTGGTATTAAGTTAAAGGATTTTTTAATCGAGTACTTTAATCTAGTTAGTACCGAGTACGACTACTACAACACTGGTTTATGGACACCAAAATCCACCTAATATATGCTGCGAACCAGCATTGGGATCACTGTGGAGAAACAGATCCGTGTGAAACAAACACGGCCTCACTTTGACCAGTTGCCTCATCTGCACGTCCTCTATAGTGTCACATAAGATAAGCTGTGAAGTTTATTATCTGTACAATGAGAGGAAATTTGGCTGGATACTATTCTCCTTCAGACACAGAATTCTAAAGGGTTAAGTTGCACATGGATATAAATCACCTACATGAACTCCTGTTTGGTTGCGTAAGAAGAGCAATGTTTTCCTACAGGTCATGGAAGAAATGTTTGAAACTTGAAGAAAAGTTCTGTGATTTCTGGCTCACTGTAATTTTTTTCACACTTTAAAATTTTCTTCCTGCTGATGCTGTTGTTGCCGACGAATTCTATTGATGGTGGCTCTGGCATGTTACCATGGTATCCATGTGCCCACGCAGTACTTTAGCGGTGGAAAAGAAATTGAGGTAAAACTTACAAAAAGTTATTGTTTAGGTTCTCTCTCTATCTTTCTTGTTACCTCTATTTTCTTTGCCTTTTTTAACATTGCAGAAGTTTTTCTCTTTAATATTTCAGAAGTTTCTCTCTTTTTTAGTTCATAATGAAGATAAATTTTGGAGAAAAAAAGTTACTATTACTTGACAGCTATGTAGTCGATTTTTATCACGTCACAAGTACACGTTTGTCATAAGTCTGTTTACAAGTCTTGTCACAAATTGTAGGGGTGACCATTGCACAGGGTTGCCATTGTCACTCGTTTCATTTTATTTGCTCGCGACTTGACTTGAAACAGGGCAACGTGGGATCATCTTGTTTTTAATTAGAGATGTACTTAATGGCAACACAGCAGAACAGATTAGGAGGATCGGGTCTTGAAGAACCATTCATTTTTTTAATCATTACATGTTGAGTTTTCAGAGTTTCTTACCTATCACACCGTGTCCGCATGCTTACATCTTATCCCACTCATTCCATTGCTCATTTCCGTCAAAGACTGCTGTTTCTGACCAAGCAACACGGAGCATGTTTCATCCATTCGTCATGCTGGATTTATCTACATATTATCGGCATCTACGTGTTTTTGGTTGCAGTGTTCTGGAGCTTCTGATGTTGGCAGAAGAGCAGAATGTGCCAGCTTTACTTTGCCTTGTATTGCTTGTTATTGTATTGATTCCAGCATTTCAGCTTTTGCAAGATATATTTGCATTTTTGACGATGGTGGTTTTCAAACCTTACTGGATGAAATCTTGCAGTTGTTTTATGCATTTGGTTTCAATAAAGCACATCAAGAGAGTGAAATTATAATGGAGAATCAAACATTTTCCAGAGCCACTTTCCTTGTATATCCAAACAGTTATTTACTGAAATTGCACAGAGACCCTGTGTGAAGACAGATATCTCACTGGCAAGGTCCAGTTTCTAGTAGTTATGCCAATTGTGCGAAGTCCACTTCATGTCATGTGATGCAAGTTCAAATCCAAATATAAATTTGCGACACACCATTGCAGATTAAATGCTACAGATTTCTGAGCATGTTTTCTTTCTCATACAATTTCGCCTTCAGGCACACGAGTGCCTTTATATCTTTTCACAACTTTGCTTGAGTTGACATGTTTGTGAAGTTCAGATAATGGATAACTTTGCATGCAATATTTTATAAAATTTAGCTTGGCAGTGCTGTAGGAAGTGGTTCTCCAGCTGGACAAGGCATTACCGAGGAGCCAATGATATCTAGTGGGATGTTTGAAAGCTCCATGGAGTCATTCTTACAAACGGGAACACCTCCTGTGTCACCTGATTTCCTCCATGGGATGGATACCTTATCTGAAACACCTGACATGAGAACAACATCAGTGTCTCCCCCTGGAATTTCAAAGGCAGCAACCGATCTGCCCTCTAAGATGGAAACAGCCTCTAAAGCATCCATTGGAATGGAAATGGTATCTCAAACTCCTCCTGGAATGGAAATGGCATCCAAAGTGTCATCTGGAATGGAAACATCTTCCAAAGCACTCTCTGGAATAGGACCATCTTCCTTGCCTCCTGATGGAATGGGAATGTCATCCAAAGTCACCCCCAGAATGGAAACCGTCACCAAACCATTCCCTGTATTAGGGACAACTCCTGAGACACACTCTGAGAGAACAACCACAGAGAGTCCCGTCACTCTTCCAGCCCCTACCGAAAAACCTGACAAGTTCACAGAAGCACCTTCTGTGACAGACGCTGTCACTTCATCACCGCCAACAGTGCTAACAGTCACGTTACCAACAGTGGCACCAACAGGGCCAATAATGTCACAGTTGCCATCAGAGATGCCAGTGATGACAGCCAAAGTTTCATCCCCGCAAATGGCATCAGATGTAAGTATATCCGCTCTGAGCGGAAACAAAAGAAGGCATGTTTTTTTTTAAAAAGACAGTCCTTTGGTGGGTACTCACTGGGTAGGCAAGGAAGTTTATGCACATTTGGGTGTTAGCACCAAAAGCGAGCAGGGACACAGTTGGAAAACTTCTCACAAACCAGTCTTTTTTTTTGCCGGTCAGAGTGCACTTCGACTCGGGGCAGATTACACATAAAGGTGGGATACAGACATCGCATGAGACAATTCATTTAATAGAGTACCGCTATAGTATTTCAAAGATGCAGGTTCATTTCCCTAAATCTTTTACTTAATGTCATTTTAACATACATTTCAATGGCATTTAATGCTGATCATTCAGGTTGGTCACAGTGAGCTGAACTTATATGATCAATGGAAATAACTGACCTTATCATTCATGGACTGTCCAGTTGAAGGATTTCAGTTCTGTTAAGATTAATAGAGCTGAGCTGGATTTCAACAGGTTGGGTATACTGTAGCATCCATACAGTTGATTGCCTGAAGAATCAGTTTTACAATTCTTAACTAAATTTGTAAATTATAATGCAGGGCCAAGAGTCAGTTGTAGTCACCACATCTACACCTCTTGTCAAGGTCATCTCTGAAACTCCTGTGTCTGAGGACAAGGTAATGTCTTCCCCAGCCGACCATGCCACACCCATCCCAACAGAGAAAGCGACACCTAAGCCAACAGAGAAAATCACACCCACCCCAACTGGAAAGGCTGCACCCTCTTCCACAGTCAACGCCACACCTGCCAAAACAGCTGAGGCCACAACCGCCCCTGGAGACAAATTTGTGTCAGCCCCAACGGGCAAAGCCGCACCCACTACAACAGACAAAGCCATGCCCATCCCATCAAGAACACTGAGCTCCGCCCCAGTTGAGGTAGTCACACCTACTCCAATCGTCAAGGTGATCAGTGGGTCACCGGGAGTACCAGGTGTCCCGGGGGAACCAGGCCCAAAAGGCGACCCAGGAATTGATGGGAAGGATGGTGCCCCAGGGACAAATGGAAAACCTGGACCTCCAGGAACATCAGGTAAAGGTCACAAGACTTAATCCAACTCTTTTTGATAGGCTTATGCAGGTCATCACCAAACAGACAGGAACCTCTTGTGTCTCAGTTTGTTTTAATGTAACATCAGAAACTTGTGACCTGATGTCTTTTCAAAAAACTGACTTGACATTTGAAAGTACTCTTGCTGTGGGCTGAAATAATTTATAAAATTCAATTGTGAAGAGTTCTTGAATATATTTTAAATAGATGACCCTTCAGCCTTTTGAAAATTTTACTTTTAAATGGGCTGTTCATTTGCATGCCTCAACCGTGTAAATGTTAAAGGGGAATTGAGCATTTCGAAAAGCAACTTTGGCCAAACGTACTCGGTTTTATCAGTGTTGTTTGTGATTATCACTTGTGCATACATGTACATGCATATTCAGCCTTTAAAATGCTATGTTTCGAACAATTCCAACTGTCCCAGTCCCAGCTAAAAGCAGTGTGTATATATTGCTTTTTCCTTTACCCTCTTAAAAGTGTTTTGAATCTGTCTCCGTGTTCGTGCTGCTGACTTTTCCCTGCAAACGTCCTTGTAGTGTCATGGTGTTCATGGAATTAGAGAATTTACAGCTCAAATGTCCAAACCCTACAGAATGTTTCTACTATTTTCCCTGAGTGAGTTCTGTCAACAGCTGTTGGTTAGCAAGTTGGTGACTCTTGTCACTATTTCAACCTGTGTAGAAAGACCTCAGAGTTCAAATAGAGCTTGACTTGGACTGGTCCATATCTCTTGAGAAAATGGCATAGTCCTGACTCCCGGCTGTACCCCTTGGGTACACTTTGTCCCCTTCCCCTGGATTAATCTTTGCTTGACAGGTTGGTTCCAGTTGAGTAGTCCAGTCCCCACAAAATACCATCGTAGGGTCCAGTGCAGAGGTATCATACGCTGGTGTTGATGGTAGAGTCTGAGCCATGACTAGAATGCCATTGAACACACTTATTTGAATGCAGTGTGAAGATCTTAATGATTTGAATACAAAAATTAGTTGCATAGACTGCAGGCAGGCACACATAAACAGGCCCATATATATGGAGTAATATTTGCCATTACAACAGGCTGTGGAAAATTATCAAGTTCAAATTCAACATGCCTGTCTCCACAGACTTCTCAGACTTTGTGTACATAGCGTGTATACCAAAAATATGGGGATCAATGGCCAGAGGTAAAAAGAAAACTCTCACATGCTTCCGCAGAGGACCCACCGGTTTGTTGTAAGTTATGTGAAACAGTCCAGTTGCTGTTAACCGTAGTTCTTGAGAATGAACTTGCTCTGTGTGTTACTGCACCCAAGTACCCCAAGCTTCCCCTGCTCATTAGTTTGTGCATGGCTCTGTTTGTTTGTTTGTTTGTCTCCAAGGTGAGAAGGGAGAAAAGGGAGATAAAGGAAGTCCAGGTATCCAAGGACCTAAAGGTGAGTAGGAATGCTAAACTTCATGTACATGTACAGGCTGCAATGTTGTCTGGTAACTGACCCCTGACTGCATGATCAGGCGTGAATAAGTGTAGTAAAGTAATAGTTCCCACCGACAGTGTTGCATGTTGCACAATGTGCTTGAAACCTTAACCTTCAAAAAGTTTTTTTAAAAGGAAGTTTCAAAGCGGGCAGTATTCTCTTGCGTATATGAATTTTGCTATCGGAGGTTTACACTGTAGTTCTTTATCAAGAAAAAGTGCTGGCATGAATATTTTCTAAATGCACGTTCACAAATACCTCAGACAGTCTCCCTATTCAATGACATGCAACTTGACCGTGTATTAACATTTGATAATGCCCGCTGAGAAGTGATAATGCCCGCTGTGTAAATCACACACTGGCACCTGTATACAAGAAAGTTTAACCAATTCTGATTGGTCAAGAGTCTGTGTGCACACGGTTCACCATGTGTACCAGTTGGATGATTTGCACAAATGGACGGGGGTTGTTCAGGAAACTGAAAGTAAAATTCGAGAACAAAATCGCTGGAAATCTGTGATATATTGACTTCTTTTGACTCTCTGACTAAAAAGGTATTAATGAATGGTAAGAAATATGTGCAATGAATGGTAAGAAATATGTGTGCTTGAAGATTTGCCAGACAAGGAACACTGATAATGCCATCACCTGCGGCCCAGGCATAAGTCACGTCCATTCTCCTGAGTTGGCCTAAATGCACGTTTAGCATGTTTGAGACCAGTGAAGCTCATATTTATTCCCTTATTTAAAGATGATCCTTATAATGTATTATACTTTCTTCCTGCAATTACTGCCAAAAGACAAAATATAGTCTCCACTACTCTCCAGCAGACATTTTGTTTTTCAAAGACTTCAGTAAAAATGCATTCATGTTACATATGAATGGGATTTTTTAGGGAAAGTGGGCTGAGACAATACCTGCAAATGTTCTTTTTTCAGTGAAGTTTTCTCTTAAGACATTTTTACAAAGAATTTGTCACTTTTCTTTGCATCTAAAATGAGTTATCAAGTTTTTGAACTGCAGACAGAAATTGACAAGGGCAAAAAGAGAGGCACTTGCCGCCTAGTGATCTTCTCAGGATTTAATGGAACATGCCACAGGTGGTTGATTCCGTCCTGACAAATGTCTCGTAATTAAATCACAGTTTAGTCATTGAAGGTCTCTGTACAGCACAATCTAAGACTTGCAGTTGTTGGATGTCTAATCAGGATGGGTTAATCTTGTAACACTGATATAGACTGAATTGTCTGTGCCTCTTTAGTGGGATGGGCTGTATTTTTTTGGGGGGGGGGAGTTAATGTTTAATTAGTTTTCAGGCTAGGAACTAGGAAGTTGTACATTTGGAAAGATTTAATTCCATTATGAGAGTCCCCAGTGATCATGATTGAAGTTATTTTGACAACTACAAGGAACAATCTTGATCCTGATTTTTTTTGTCTGGCACTGTCATTGTTATTTCATTTGCACTAATTGACACATTATGTTTTCATCTATGCTCAGTCTTCCAGTTGCATGCCTAACTAGGTTATGCAGCTGTTTGTGTTTTGGCAACTTCACTGTCACTTTGCTCAAATCATCCTTTGAGCAAGTTATAACATTTTTTGCGCATTGCATATTGCCTTGAGAATCGTACGCAATCGTATACCATGAATGAGGAGATGTTAGTGACCAAAGTGATATGCCTAGATCTGGGTAACAATTGTTTTGTGCCCTGTACTTTCAGTCGTGTTTCCTGTCTGTGAGAATGATTGTTTTGTACCTTATATATTAGTGAAGTTGTTATATGCTATAAATCACCTCGTATGAACTATGCTCACTGCTACTTCCCTATGTTGGGAACATTTACCATGCAATCTCCCATTTTTTCTGTGTTATGTCCTGTTGAGAAATGTTACATCTGCATGGATTTTATTTACTTCTTGATAGCTTGTGTTCTTGTTTTTTATCATTTGTTGGGACAGTGTATTGAGACAGTTGTTTACTGTCGTGATTTGGGGCATATGTCTAGGGTGTCATGTGACGCATTGGTGTACAAAATGCCATGCCTCGGGTCTCAACGGTTATAAATTGTGTGATGTTTACAACACAGGCAGACTTGTATGACTGGTGACTCAGACTCGAAATCGACTTGAGTCACATTTTTAATGACTCAGACTCGGACTCGAGTCACTTTGACAAATGACTTGGACTTGGACTGGGGGTTGTGGACTTTGACACGACCTGCATGACTTTTGATTCAGCAGAAATTACATTGTTTTGTTGGGTTTTTCACTGAGCTGAATAGTGTACCATATATTGATTAGGGAAACTGATGTACCAAAACTTGTACCCTGTCATCCAAACTTAATACTGCATTAGTACACGATGATGTATTTGGTATCAGACCATTCTTGTTGGACGCAGACTGATGCCCTGCCATCCAAAAGCTTTGAATCACATGTATTGCTGTTCAAATAATCTCAGTTACAGCTGGTTACAGGTCTGACGATCTGATGTCAGTAATGTCTGTGCTTATGTGAAAGGACGAAGATTGGTCATGGCATCCATTCAAAAGAAGTTAATTTTGGGTTTATCGATTTTAACCCTAACCTTCCCCAACCACACAGAATTAAACAGTAGTAAAGTGTTTAATTCTGTGGGGATAGGTTTGGTAGGCCCATAACAGCTGGCTTTTGCATTGGATTTGGCATACCTCAGAAAATAAAGTCCAACAGCCTCTGTGCACAACGTCCCATATGGGGTTTGTGTGAATGGGAAGGTTAGGGCCAGCAACCCTTGGGGGGTCAGGGTCAAGAGAAATGCAAACGGGAGACAAGCGCAGAATGTAAATTCTGCAAGAGAAAAAAAGAGGAAAGAAAAGCCAACTAATCTGCCATTAAAAAAGTTTGTCTTCATGCCTTGCAGGCCCTGAACCATTGCCAAAGTTACAAAGAAAGTGTCATCTCACTAACTATGCAGTTAATGCAAGTTTTGACATATGAACAAGTTACACGTACTAATTGGGTAAGACATGTCGGTCCCCCCTCCCTCCCCAACATGTCCCACTGTCCAAGGCTGACTCACTGTCTTTGAAAAAATGTGGCAGCCATCTCTTTTACCATATGCTGATCTTTGTTCAGCCGATGTGGGAAGTGACACAGGAAGAACTTTGTTAATAAGACTATTTTGTCTGTTGACAGAAGATGTCGTGGAAGATGGGGGGGGATGTGCCTCCATTAAGGAGTCAAAGTCAACAGGAAAAAGTCCTTAAAAAGATATCATCGTTTTAAGGTCTCTTCCTGCATAGTTGCAAGATGTGACAGACATCACTGCTTAACAGTTTTTAAAATCTAATGTGAGAAGCTATAAGGAAATTTTGGATGAATATATTTTATGCCTCAGGAATAATTTGGGGAAATCAATTTTTTCCTGTCCTTTCTGGCCACTCATTTTCTGGAGCATTTTCTGGGTTACATGTGTGCTACATTTTTGTCTGAGGGTTATATTTGGGCAAGTTAAATTTCACAGTCTTTTGAGAAAGCATTTTACTTGCAAGTTAACAATTTCTGTAATGGTTTCTGGAGGATGAACGGATTTGATTTGTTGAGTTGGTTTTTTTCTTTTCAAAACTTTCTTATAGGAGCTCTTGGTGATCCAGGCTTGACAGGCCCTAGTGGACCCGAAGGGCTACCGGGCGTGGCAGGCCCACCCGGCGACAAAGGAGTGCCAGGGGATACGGGACCAATCGGACCCAGTGGAAGCAAAGGACAAAAGGTAGAAGCACCCACTGCCACCTGAGTTGACACTTACCTGCATGTTCTTAGACATGAGCATGCGCATTTTCATAATCACAGGGGCCTATGGGTCAGACATGTATTTCATGGGTACTTTTTTCCTGCATGCGCGTGTACTTCCACTGCAGGAATGGCTGGTTGGTGCGTTAGTCTATTTGCTTGTACCAGTTCATGGTACAGTGGAACATGCTATAACGAACATGACAGGGTCCACACACAATGTTCGGTGTAGCGGTCGTTCAGTATGGCGATTTTCAGTCACAGACACATGTACCCTTTCTGAACTTTGGCCCATACATGTACATGTATAGGCTAAGCTTTTTCAAACGTGTGCTGTCCCGCCCCTCAAAATTGTTGGGTATGAGGATTCTGAGTCAAAATCTACCTGCAAACAAGGTATAAAAAACCCCAGAAATTCCTGAATTTTTTTATTATGTTAATACCCTTTCATGTTTCCCCTATGGGGCCCTCCTCACTGAAAGTAAAATCATGAAATGAAACTGAAAAATTGCATGTAGGTATAGTCACACTGGCTCCTGTTGGTAAAACAGCACTTTAATGAATGGGCTGCGCCGGTTACCATTCAAATACAGAAGCAATGGAGGTGCTATAATGTACATGTCCAAAGTTGGCAACGAAATGTCAGGCAAGTATTTTCAAAAATGATCGAAACTCTCAAGATATTATCAAAGATTTCCTAGAGTCAAGTAACAAATGCTAGTGTTTGTACATTTAGTTCCTGTTTTGGTGGTTTTTAAAGTTCAGAACTGCCCGCTTTGTAGGAATTATCGTACAAGATTTTCTACACCAGTCGCCAGCACAGCATTGCATACGTGCATACCATACTTGGCAGCCGGTCCACTTGGATGCATGTGATATACATTGCGTTAAAGATACAGATCACGCAACTTGTTGGCGGTTGTTCTGTTGTGAGTGCAGTTTTCGCCAACTTCGAATTGTTTGTCGTCAGTTTTACATATGTTTCTTTTATTTAAAACAAATTTGTAATGTTCAGTAAAAGTGCACAGAAAATTAGGACGGTAAGGGGGATGTTCGGTATACCCAAATGTTCAGCTTAGCGGTGTTCGTTATTGCGACGTTCTACTATACTTCTTTATGGCAAGAGACGGCTAAGTGAGAGGGTAGACATGATTCAAATTCATATCTTGGGAGGACGTCAATGGGTATTTGAGCATGGGGAGGAAGAGGGGAAGGATCTGTCCTGCCTCCATTGTTGTGGTCAGAGAGTCAGGTTGTAAGATTATTGGAACTTGAAATGACATCTGCCGACCACATCTTCGATTCATCATGTGGAGCTTCACACATTTCACCCCCTGTAGCTTCATTATCTGTCAAGGATGCGATGCTGTCAATCAAAAGCTTCTTATCAGAGAAAAATTTCCCTCTCCAGATTACAGTAACTTGTGATCACATTCAATGATGAATGGAGTGCAGTAACTACATTAATCATTCCTTGTCTCTCTTTGTTTTCTTTTTTTTTATATTTGTTTGCTTTTCTCAGGGTGAACCTGGGATTGGAGAGCCTGGCCCACCAGGCCAGACAGTGACCCCTGACCCAGAGAAAATCCGAGGAGCCAAAGGAGAACAGGTTGGTTTCAGTTCTCAGAATGAATGGAGCAGTAATTCGTGATGTTGCTTCATAATATGGAAGCTGTTCCTACCAGTTGGGTACCTAGTTCCAATGCACTGCCCCAACAATTAAGTATAATGCATAATATTTGGACTTTTTTATGCTTCTATTTTTCCAGGGAAAGACGGGAGTTCCAGGACCCAAAGGAGAAAAGGTAACTTGACAAAGAGCATATATGCAACCGTTGGAAAGCCAGACTACAAATTTCTGAATTGCACTGAGCACATGTTTTTATTGGGGGAAAAGAAATTCACATTTAGTTCCTTTGAGTGCTTTCCAGTATTTCCATCATAGGTTTTGCAATGATTCCATTTGTTGAATAGCTCTGGTATCATAATTCGTTCCGAGCGGAACAAAAGAGGACGTGTTTTTTGGTACTCACCGCATAGGCGAGCGTTTATAACGGAGATCAATGGCACGTTCAACGCAGAGCATGCTAGGTACAGGTAATAAATTTATTCCTTAAATGTATGGTCTTTGTGTACGCACCAGAACCCCGCCAGAACCTGCTTGGAAGACGCACTACCAACTGTCTTTCTTTTGCCACTTGGGGATACACTTCAACTCGGGGCTGATTGTGAATCAATTGGGATCATAATCGGGACCTGTAAAGTCCACATTTGGAACCAAGGTCGCATTCAAGTTGTAAACATGTCTGTTCCTTTCTGATTTCGCCGTGATAAATGCAAAATGTCTGATAATCAGCTCGCAAGCAACTTTCAATTTTTGTTTTACTTCATCAGCAGCCTTCAGGCTTGATCTTTTTTTGTTCACCTCAGTTTTACTGTGCTTGTTTTTTGTTGAATGGTTATTGTAGGGTGACCGAGGTGGTATTGGCCTTGTTGGACCCCAGGGAGACATAGGCCTCCAAGGAGCAAAAGGAGAAAAGGTAGGTTCAGCTGTCATATCCTTACATCCCATGCCGGGTTCTGCACTGCATCCTCCGAGCCACTCCACTCCAAATGGGAAAAAGAGAGAGGCATGTTTTTACAAAGCAGCGACGGTCCATTTGTTGGAACTCACCACTAGTGCGCACAGTGTCATTTGTTTTTTGGTGTTGGACATGCTGAGCAGCCGTTGTATCGTCTGCACTTGCACTGGGCACATACTTGGGCCCAGCTGGAAAACATCCCACCAGTCTGTCTTTTCTGTGTCGGTAAGAGTGTTCTTCAACTTTGGGTGGATAGTGCTTCAGAGAAGGTAGTGCTATGAACATGGCTACCAACATCCTGCTTAACTGCCATTTGATGGATCAAATCAGTGGAAGGCTTCCACAGCACTGTGGGGAGAGGTCGACCACACAACCATGTCACACAGCAATCATACACAGATGCATCATACCTCATCAGCGCAACCGAATCTTGAAAGTTTTCCTTTGCCACTGCTTGGGATGCCGTGATCATTCAAAATGTTCTTCTGTTTGTCAAGTTGCATCCATTTCACTTTCTGGTAGTTGTCATCTCCAAAGTGGCAGCCACTGCCAGTAAACGTTGTGCAGTTGCCAATGTGGACCCAGGAGCTAGAAATAGACCTTACTGAGGAATGAAAGTGCACCATTTTGCGAGTTGCTTCTATTTCAGAAGCTGTGCAGCTATTACCTGTCGTACGTGCACTTGTGCAACCGTGTCCACTGGCAGGTTTGCATACGTAGGAAGGAGTCCTGTCACACTAATTTGCTTACAATTTGCTCCGTCAATAATAATCAGTTATTCATTCATAAAGTGCAGATTTCATGCGCTTAAGTTTAACCAGTTAATGTCAGATTTTCTTACCCGAAATGCTGCTGGGGCTTTTTTTCTAAAAATTTGTCAACCTTGCAATTTATTTATGACGCCCACAAAATATGTAGCGAGGCATCTCTTTTGTAAGTGTGGTTTTACTTTTTAGCAAATCGGCTTACTCAAACGAAGGTCTTTCATCCCTTTCTTTTGTGTATGGTGTGGGCTGCCATATTGTAATTACTGAAGAAAGACATTTCCGTTGTATTGTTGGTTGGGGTTGGGTCCACCTACATGTAGTAGCAGTGTCCGCGTGTAGGATTGTCTTCCGCACTTGACCCAACCAAGCACGACGCATTGCTACGTCAACCGTGAAAATGAAAACAGAATTATTAAATTGGGGTACACGTCCTCCATGGAACAAATAAGGAACATTGTGTGTGTTTATATGTCATCCGGCGTCAAGTGGTGAAATGTGCTATGTTCAGATAGAGACATTAAGCATGGCTGAGCCCATGGCATTTGAGGGTGCGTGCCTCAGGCAGCTGCTAAACAACCCATATCTGCCCTTATCTACAGAGAGGAGACAAGAAGAAGTGGGAGGTGGGAGGAAAACCCTAGAGACGAAAATTCTGGGTAAAACCCACAGAATCAGGTAGGGATGGGAACCCAATCCATGTGGACCCAGCTGGGAATTGAACCCGGGCTGCAGAAGTGAAAGGAGAGGAAAGAATGACTTGGCTAGCCTGACTCCCAAGGGTACCTTGGATATCACAAAGCATTATGGGTAACATGTAGCCACAGACATTGCACATGTATTCATTGCACACATTTCAAGTGGACGTTGAAGTATTATCCTGTGTTAATACACAGACAAGCCTACCCTGTACAGATACAAAGAAATTGCATCATGTGCCCCAAACTTGAGGCGACCCTGTGGATATTGATGTTGAGGAAAGCAAACCTACGCTCAGGTTGATTGAAAGAGAATCTACACAGGCATAGGCACATAACCATGCAATCTGCATGGTATTTGAAAATTGGAATTTACTTTGATAATTGTCTCTTTCTCTTAGGGTGACCCAGGTGAGGGCTTGATTGGTCTACAAGGACCCATTGGACCTATCGGACCTCAGGGACCACAAGGGGATACAGGACCAGTTGCCGAACTACCAGTAAGAAACCTCGCCTGGCAGTGGTCAGCTGGAAAATAGTGGCTAATTCATCAAACACTTTATCAGTGTTTGAAACTTAGCAAGTGCGACAATAGAATTACAGTTTGAGGCCCCGTTCCTTGTCTTTAGAAACTGAGAAAAGAGGTGGCCAAAGATTTACAGGAGCTGTGATATACTGAGATTTATGCAGGAAAACCATCACTTTGCAGTATCATTTGAGAATGTGGGCCTTGTTCTGTCAGATAAAACTTCCATAACACATCTCAAACTCCAAGGTTGCTAGTTTACAAGAGCGAAAACTCAAGGTGCTTCAGAAAATGGGCAGAGTGTGTACAGACTAATTCAACACTGCAGTGGAACCCACTAAACCACACAAGTCAAGGAGCAACATAAGTAGTTTCTTCTTGGATTAGTCTAACATTTTAAGAGTCAGCTCAAATTTCTCAACACTTATATTTACCGGGCCAAATTTGCAGTTTCCAAATATGTTGTTTCAATGTGCTGTTGATGCTTTGATGCTTTTCTTCTCTGTAGGAGTTCTTTGACCTCTTTGAAGGTTCAGGATTGGCTGATTTCAGGGTAAATTATACTCTTAATGACATATTGAAGTTCTTGAATTGCAAAGATCATATTTTTTCCACTTTGCAAGCTGCTTTGAAATCACAAAGACTGGATTGACAAAGTTCCCCCTTACCATTGTTCACTGTGCAGGAACACGTTGTCAGTCAACAATCATGCTTGAGTACACCAGACTTTTTTAGAGCAATTGATATTATTAGTATTAACAGGCAAAATCAAATTTGATAGGGCTAGGAAAGAATTCTACATGGTATATTTTAAATTCTGTTCTTATGGTGGATGAATAAGAACCTCTAATAGTGGCCTACAGTTAGATTAACTCAAGAGCACGAAACTGTCCTAAACTAGTTATAGTAGATTGTACTGTGTGTGTCCTCAATTTCCAGGGACAGCGTGGCAAGAAGGGCCAAGATGGCCAACCGGGCCAAGCCGGTCCCCAAGGTCCGGTGGGTCCTCCGGGCCCTCCAGGCCCCCAAGGGAATCAAGGAGCTCCTGGTTCGCCAGGGATGCCTGGGGTACCGGGTACGCCAGGCCGGCCTGGTACGGTAGGGATGAACTACACAGGACTCAACGGGCTGTGCTGCAGGGATGGGCTCAATGGCAGCCAGGGACCCCCAGGAATACAGGTAAGTTTTGATTTGGGAATCTAATTTTAGCTAGCTCGTAAACAGTTCTGCCGTCCATCTACCTGTGATGACAACTAATCAGGCAACGTCACTTAGACGCCATGTCTGAGATGGTGCTCCAGTAAGATTCATTCTTAAATTTGTATCATGCATATTTGAATGTCTCAAATGCTAATTCCCCAGCTGAAAAAATATTTCTTTCACTACATGGCTCGTACACTGCTGTGTGGCTTTAGTTGTTGCATTGTACATATACTATTGTGGCTCAACATCAGTCATTTTATTTCAGTTGTCAGTATTGCCTCAAGTATTTTTGTTTTCCTGTAGGGACCCCCTGGTCCTCCTGGCCCACCTGGCCAAAATGGAACCGCAGGAACTTCTGGTGAAACTGTAAGTCAAGATAAGTGTTTTCAAGAATTTTTTCAAAAAAGGTTTTTCAAGATTAGTAACTGCTAACAGTTCAAAGTCTTTATTGCCACCTACAGTGGTGAAAAGTCCTGGTGGTGCTTGTTGGCCCAGACTTGCAAACAGCAATTTCTGACTTGTGTCCGTTTTTTTTTTTTCTACTAGGGACTTGACTTGAACATACAGGTATCAATTTGACTTGTTGACATTACCATTAGCATTATGCTTGTCTTACCCTTTCATTAGTCTCTCACATCTTCTCATCTAGTGTTTTCTTGTCTTTGTTGTCTAATAGTCTTTGTCTTTTTGACGTTGCTTTTTGCCTTTGTTTCTCTTTTTGTCGTTGTCTTGCCTTTTCTTGTCTTGTCTTGCATTGCCTTCTTGTCATCTATTCTTTGTTGCCTTGTCCCTCTATATTCTTATCTCGTCACTCTTCTTATTAAAATTTTTCATCTTGTTGTCCTTTCGTCCTCTTGAATTGTTTGTCTGTTGTCTATTTTTTATCTTGTCTTTCTATATGACATATTATTGACTTGCACAGTAATGCAGTGACAGGGATGTGTGCTAGTGGCTTTTGACTGCGGCAACTTTCCTTAGTTGTGTGCGTTACTCCAAGCCACAGCCGTTTGATTCAATCACCAAAACTAATGGAAAAATTGCTCACTATTTATGAACTTGCATTAGTAAACTTCAAGTCATCTCATTTTGTTTCCTTTCTTTCAAAGGGTAAGCCTGGTGTCCCTGGTATTGAAGGACCCCCAGGAATGAAGGTAAAAAAGTTGGAGAGATGTCAATGTAACTTTATTTTCTTAGCAAGGAGTCTGTTGCATTGTATTAAATTGTGAAGTTTTGATATGGATTCTCAAATTTTTCTTTGTTGGAAAGCCAGATTCCGAAGTTAAGTGGCCCTTTAAAGTTTGACAGTGGAATGTACAAAACCAAAAGTTGATATTGTATTGCATTATCATTGTGCCTTCCATTAAAAATGTCAACTGAAGTTAGCCCCACAAATACTAAACACTGTTTAAAAAAAACAGTTTTTAACTTCCAAGTTTTTAAGCAGCGCTGTGAAGTTTCTAATATTAGTTAACATTAGTTCCAAGAGTGTATTTGTTGGTATTTGTTTTGTCATTAACTTAGGGGCTTTTTAAACTCTTGTCTCCAGGGAGATCCAGGTATTGCAGGCCCACCAGGTCCACCTGGCCCACCAGGAAAAATCTACATAATGCCCACAGATGCCACCCCAACAGCCATTTCCAAACTATTCACGGTGAGTCGGCATTTGTTATTTTGTGAAGGACTGTGGTCGACAGAATTCATTAGAGACCTTTTGCCGACACATCACTCTCAAACCCCAGCCGTGGCAGCGCATATCTTCAAGATTGAATGTCCAACTCCGAGCACATCTTGAACACTGGAATGATAAAAAGAATTCACCCCTTTAGACTCTTGCAGAAGTAGCGGTGGTTATTCAAGCCTCGTTCTATTTCATCTGATGTTTATTAGAAATCAAGTTTATTAAAAATTTAGTGTCACGGTTGATCTTCCTATGGCTCAACCATTTCTCTTTGCCTTTAGGATGGAGATGCCTCAGCTGGAAGTGGATCACCGCCACAAATCACAAAGTCACCTGTTAATGTGAGTCAACAGCTGAGTTTAAATTTGACGAAGTGCAAAATTTGTGCTCCATGTCCTTGTTTTCCGAAAGACAAATTGTTTGTCATTACCGCAAGTAATTTGGATGTGTCCCCCCTCCCCCACAGGGAGGTGTTGACCTCATCCCTGGTGAGCCTGGTGCTCCGGGGCCCCCAGGACCCCAGGGCCCTCCAGGAGCAACAGGTGAACGTGGTGAGATTGGCTTGCTGGGTGAGAGGGGACCGAAGGGAGACAAGGGATCTCCAGGAACCCAAGGAATACAGGTATGACTTGGGGACCAATATGTTGCTGTCCATGAGGGCAATAGTTATTTTTACTTTGAGTTTGGAACCCAGTGTGTGGAATAGTCAAACAGGGAGAAAAATTTGTCTGTCATAGAAGTAAATAATTATGAGTTTTTCTTTGGCTGACCCTGTTGGCCCTACAATTACTGTTGGAACCAAATTTATGGATATAGTCGAGGGCACAGGCCAGTTACTGCCCTTGATTTTTCTGATGTTAGAAACCCGTCGGACCAGTTATGTAAGTAGGGCCTATAGTAATGAGGCAATAGTTCACTAAAAACCTAGTTCACATGTTGTACAGGGTGGGATTCAATCTTGAGCCACAGAAATGGAAGGCAGCAAAAATGCCACTCTGCCAATTTGCTTCTAAGATGTAATTCTGATATTAAATTTAATGTTTTTTTCCCTCTCAGGGGCCTAAGGGAGACACTGGGCCTCAAGGACTACCGGTAGGACTGACTTTTTCCCCCCAGTTTCCTCCATTTTGTATTTAGTATTACCCAGTCATAGATTTTGTAGCATTTCCAGAGGATATGAGTTGTTCAGTGAGTTAGGTTTCTGACAGTTAGAATAAACCTTAATTATTATGCATAAATTACTCTCCGATGCATCTCGGTTAACTACTTTGTAAATTGTGAAGTGACTGATTCTTTTGCAGGGTAAAAATGGTAAAGATGGTCGAGAAGGACCCCAAGGAAAACAGGTAGATAGCTGCCAAAATTTGGTGTTTCTTTTTGTTGTAAACCTTTTGAAGAGGAAAAACGATTGTTACAAATGTTGAACTTAATTGAATGTGCCCAGTAAATTAAAAGAAAAACAGTTCACAGTTTGCACAGAAGGCTAATATACGTGAAAATGTGATGCCAATTTCAGATATTTTTAACTGTGAATTTGCACATCCCAATTTTTTGTGGCACCATGGCCAAGCACTTAATTTTTCAGCTTGCACAGCTGCTGCCCATTTCATAAAGATCTCATTCTACTCCTTGAAATCAGCCTAATATAATTTAATAATACCTAATACTAATGACAAAGAGAAAGACAAAACCGGGGACAAATCGCGCCATGCAGATTGTCAGAAATGACTGCTTGGCGTATGTTTGTGCTCAGCAAGTCCCCGATGAGAACCAGTCAGAAATGACATGTACAATGTGTGAGCTTTTGGCAGGTAACCAGTTTCTGTCAAGCAGATTTTTCTGTGCAAAACAAATCCAAACAGCTACACCAAATTGGCTACATGACTATAGGTATGTATTAAGTGGTTGCAGTCAGAATAACGTATTTGTAGGAAGTAGCTTCTGGAAATTTTTTCAGCCCCAGCTGTCACCTGGGAAATGAGTTGAGACATTTGAATTTGACATCCTGAATTCCAACCTTTGACCTCTGACAGGGTGAGAGGGGCGTCGGTCTTCCAGGAGATAAGGGTGATGCAGGATCCATGGGACCATCAGGAATGCCTGGGGAACAAGGCATAATGGGACCACCTGGACCACCAGGGCCACCCGGTCCACCTGGGGAAGTCATGGTGGGTCATGGCCGGGAAATTTCAACTCCCCCCCCCATAAAACAAGTGGATGCATGTTTTCCTCTTTCCAGTTTCATTGAAAACTAAAATATGAGTCCTAGTTCTTGTGCTGCTTGCTGTGTACATAACGAGATGCCCAGATACTTACGTGACCCCATAAAAATGAATCACAAGTCAGCAAAGCCACCTTTGAGTTTCTTACCTGGTGAAATTTGTTCAGACATTTCCATGCACTTCAAGTCTGTTGTCCTCAGGATGCAAGACTAAGTGGTGTGTTAAAAACAGAGCTCAGTTTCTCCACCTGATGCAAACTCAAATGAAATTAGTTTGAAAAAGTGGCCTCAAGACTTATTTTGTGGAACCCAGTCACAAGCTTGGATGAAATAATGCAGCTTACCAAAATGTGTGGCTCATGATTTCATATTTGAAATATGATGGAAACCTTTGAGTAGAACTGAAAGCACCTGGTCTTATTGGTTAGAAAAAAGGGGTGCAGAAAAGAAAGTCTGCAATATTTCCTTCTTTGTCTGCAGTGAATTGGGCCCATTATTAACTTCATATTTGGCTTTCCAATTTGTGCTTGACAGATTGATGTGGATGGCCAAATGAGTGAAAAGGGCGAGAAAGGCGACTCCGGAGAGGTCGGACCAAGAGGACCCCGAGGGCAGAAGGTACCAGTCAAAGCTGTTTTCAAATCTACTGACTGTGGCTATTAGGCAGTGGCTTCCATAGCCACATATGTTGCTTTTCAGCTACAGCCGTAACTTCCTTAAAAGCAATGTATCTTGGTCGATGTTGAAGCTAGTAAGTATCCGTCCTTCAATCTTACTGTGCAAGCAGTATATAAAGAGCACAAGTGGTGTTTCTTTTCACAGACCAAAAACTCCCACTTAAACTGCATGCTTTCATCAGAAAAGGTTAAATTGCCAAATCCTGGTTACTTTGTTCATTTTAAGGTGAATTTATAATGAAACTGTCACTGAGTGAATGTTGACTTTGAATCTAGTTTCTGTCATTTTTTCCTCTGAAGGGTGAAGCAGGCCTGAATGGTATACCTGGTTTCCATGGCACCAAGGGTGATCGTGGGGAGAGGGGACCTGCAGGAATGGATGGTGCCCCGGGCGCTCAGGGTGACATGGTAAGGAAGTCACAGGAAATAAATAGCTGACTGGAAATGGGCTGATATTGGTTGTGGTTGGTTGATTTAGGCCGGATTGAATTGGGTTGGGTTGGGTTGGACTAAAGTGGGTTGGCTGAGTGTGGGTTGGTTGAGTTGACTTGGTATGAGTTGGTTGGATTGCCTTGGTCACTTTGACTGATCCATTCATAAATGTGATTCCACAGGGACCCAAGGGTGATCAGGGACCTGAAGGTATCCAAGGGCGTGACGGATTGGATGGAATGCCAGGACCCAGAGGGCCCCAGGTAAGGCATCATGTCATGGAGGGCTCTCCAAGTACTGACCAGTGTTGCTGCCATGTTTGGCCTATCAAGTTATCACGGTCGCAGTGTAAAGCTGACAGAGATGTCCATTCTCAGTGTGCTTTTGATTAGACTGAATAACTTGTAACGATTCTGCTCATCTACATTAGTTTTACATGTATAAAAAAAAATCCAAATTCATATTCCTTGTAGGGTGAGAAGGGAGAGCCCTACATTCCTGATGAGTCTGCACTGGTGCTACTCAAAGGAATGCGCGGTCCAAGAGGCCCACGGGGACCCAAGGGACATTTTGGTATCCCTGGCCGACCGGTAAGCCTGTAAACATGTTGGACCTTCGTTTTGATTTCTCTAGAAATCAAAGGTGGAAATCATGTATGGAGACCTGTAGATACACAGAAAGAAAAATTTGCCTCAATGAAAATCTGTCAAAATGTAAAAAATGTACATAGGCGAATTTGATAATAAAGTATAATGAAATTAATCTAATAGAATTTTATACTCAACAGAAGTAGTCAGTTAAATGCTATCTAGTGGGTTTTCTGAAATATTTAAAACCAGTTTGTCTGCTTCCCCTTTTGTTTTACTCTGGCCCTTGTTTAAACATTTAAAGCATTAATTGATTTTTATCCAAATATTCTTGAACTTCTGTCGTGCAACATGGTTTGATGTTAGCTTGTCCATTGTTTTTGAAAAACTTGTTTAAAAAAGCAAACTGTCCAAAGCTTTTTGATTTGTTACTTTGCAGGGTAACCATGGTGACATAGGGCCCCCAGGGTTGTCTGGACCAGCAGGTGCTGATGGAGTCCCAGTGAGTTAGACTTGGAATGTGAATTCATTTACTAAATGAGCTCATGTTCGATTGCATCATGAAAAAGATAATCAGACATTTCTTCGTTAGAAGCGTCTGCTGGCTTGTTTCTGAATCTTTGTAATAGACTTTACTAAGTTGAAAGTTTACTTCTTGACTGACAAATTTTACATATTGTTTCTTTTCAGGGCATTGGAATTCCAGGTGAAAAGGTATGTTTGCTAATTTGAAGAGGATGAAAGTAAGATTTTCAAAAAATTCCCCCCCCCCCAAAAAAAATTGCAAATTTAATTCACCCTGATCTAGACATTTCTCACTTTTCCTTCAAACATTTGTCAGAGCACCATGTGCAATACAGAGAGCCGCCATGTAGCATTTCATTTTACTAAGGGTTCTTTTCAAAAGACTTAGCGGTCCGTCAATGAATGTTTGCGGACCTTCTGGTATTGCTAAGGGCTGGCCGGTTTGCGAACTTCCAGCATCCTGTTCACTCATGCTTAACCAGTTCACGGGGCAATCATGGCTAGGTCTTTGGCTATGTTAATACACCTAATGATTATGTATGAGCTTCGAATGTACATTTTAAATGATGTGAAGTCTGGGAACTTAGTCCGCTCCAGTTATTTTGTACGCCTGTTTTTAGAGTGGTAGGGTTTTACAAGTGCAATCTCAGCAGGAAAATGTGTTTTATGAATACCACACAGAGGCATATAGTTGGTTTATAGTAGCTGGGCCTATTTCTAGATAGTGCTGCAGCCGCACTGCTGTACCGAACCAAACTGGTTGGTTCGAATGTCCGGCTTAAATATGGCATGGGAAATATTTTTTCCGACCTTAATCATTCTCCCAAAGTGCATGGTTTACGTAAATCTAAACTCAATAAAATCTAACTAAGAAAGTGGTTTTTGACAGCATCAAAGAAACCATGAGCTTCAAGAAAAAAAGAGTGCTACCGATAAAGTATGAATGGATGCTAATGAAGTCAAAGAGTGTTCAAGAAGCCCACATTAACTGTTGGCGGTTTTATGAACTAAGCACGTTCAACATATTGTCCACAAAGAGATCAGAACGGTGGTTAGTCCGTGAGCCTCGCATGTTCACTAGTCCGCTGACTCGGTGATCCTAGAACTATAGCGTAACAAAGGCGCATTGTTAGAGGATACAAATGAGCTTGAAGGGCTTGCTGATGATCGGTTGTCAAGGGCCAAATTTAGTCCGCGAACTCAGTGGATTTCGCAGATGTTCAATTTTTAAAAGAACCCTAACACTTGTAGTGAAGCATATGTACCACAGAAGAAAGCAGTTTTAATTATTTCCAGTGAACGTCAGAGCCATGTAACCATGTTGAGCAAATTTTGGCAAATCTGGGAAATTGTGAGACGTATGTCAAGAAGCTCCAGCAGAAGACTTAATCACAGACACATAGTCTTTAACAGTTGAAATGGCTGAAATGTTGATATCCGAATAATTCACAGTGGACTGTACCATTCTTGTTGACAGGGAGAGCAAGGTATGAAGGGTGAAAAGGGAGAACCTGCCATTATTGGCACAGCTCTGCCCTTGGCCTCCGGGGTACGTAATTTTTTTTTACAGTACTTAAAAATATATGACATTTTAAGGTAGCAAAATTTATTTGCCAAAAGACTTCTTCCTTCTCTCTACAAAACAAAAGTGTGCCTCAAGTGCAATATGATGAAGTGGTGAACTCGTAAGGACCAGTGATCAATTCAATTTGACTGTCGCCCTAATTTTTGCACTGAGTAAAAATCACCCAAAGTTTCAAAGCTATTTCATCCAAAATCTGGACTCTTTGATGACTAATGTAAGCAACGCATCAACAGAGAATTACATTCTTTTCATGTCCAAGGTCAAGATAGGCATATTTCCTTAAAAAAAACACAAGTAAATTATGAGGTGGTGTCATTTTTCTCTCAGGTAAAGGGTGAAAAAGGAGACCCAGGAGAGCGTGGACCTTCAGGGAAACGAGGACCAGCCGGACCGCAGGGAGTTCCAGGTATGCATAGCAACACATTCCAAGTAACCATAGCAACAGACATTTGCTGCATCAGCTTGAAATGATCCTAGCATTTTGGTCCTTGAATCAATGTTAGTTGATATTCCTTTTTTTTCTAAAGGCTTCCCCGGAGTAAATGGTTTGAATGGTCCTAAGGGAGAACCAGGTGAACCAGGAGAAGAGGGTAGACCTGGTGCAATGGTAAGATTATTGCCATCTTTCAAATTCTGATTCCCAGGTAACATGTTATTGTCTAGGTTGAGGATTCTGTTGAGGGGAGAAGTGCTCATAGATTGGAAGGACTTGGTTTTTCAGTCAAAAGACGGGGAAATAATAATGTGCCTGTTATCTTCCCCCTTTGGATAGCTAAACACCCTTTCCTCTTGAACCAAATTGGGTAAAGTCCCTGGAGAGGATGAGATAGTTACTGCTTTTTTGCATCTGTCTATGCTAGGGTCATCCTGGTGTGGATGGTGTGCCTGGGAGTACTGGACCTCAAGGCCCCAAGGGTGACAAGGTAAGCAATTGGAGCCAAGAAATTAAGAGAAATGACAGACTAAGGATCTTAGCGTACAATATTTCAAGAAATTTGTGTGGAACCAAGCATGTGCCCCTGGATTTTTGCACAATTCTGACGTGTAAGAGTAGATAATTTGTGTAACAAGATGGCAGTCTTATCAAGTGATTTTTCTGTTGATGGCTGGCTGATGGATAAATGTGATAATATAGGTAGAATTGTTCAAAGGCAGGAATGGAGCAAATTAAGAAATTGATAAGGGCCCTTCTGAGTTTCCTAACCACTTCATGTCTGATGATGTCTAAACATTGCCGGGATTCCCTGCATTGTTTATTCAACAGTTATTTAAACACATTCCAGCAAATCCGGCATACATGCTACATGACATTCATACTTGTCCCCATCTTTGAGTGATTGCTTTTGAGTCTGTGCCCACACAGGTCAAACTGGCTCCTGGAGTCTAAAGCTGAGTGTGTGCTGAGCCTGTAAACAGTCTTGGGCCATGGCTGAGTGTCACTGCAAATACCATATGACATTGTCGAAAAAGTTTTTAAAAACATGATAATGTTGGGAGAAATGTTGCTTAAATCTTGTAACAAATGACCACCAAGTCTTGGCATTTGTTAAACTTGAAAAAGGTAGTGATATCATGTTTTTAAAAAGTTAGAATTTTTGGCTAAAAAGAATGCCTTCTCCTTGATAAGTGCATCATAGAACATTGCTGTTGACAGATGGTTTAGACAGTGTTTGCCTAATTTTCCATTTCTGTGATTTTGGACACAGGGCAGTCCTGGCATTGGTTTGAAGGGTGAGCAGGGTCGGCCCGGTAACCCAGGCCCGCCTGGCTTTGGCGTGCCCGGAATTGATGGACCCCAAGGGCCCCAGGGACTCCCAGGGCCCCCTGGACCCCCGGGCCCCCGTGGACCAACTGGTAAGGATGTGCCCCCAAAGGCCGCATCCACATGTTATTGGCTACGGCCAGGAATAACACACACACCTATGTAAGCCACTTCCTCTTTCATGCGTGTGTTACTTCTGAGCCGCTGTTACTTGGCGTGGACACGTGCAGTCAAAACTTGGATGCAGGAACTTGATTTAATGGCTTTGCATTTAAAAATGTTAACTTTCGAAGTCCTGCTGCACATATACCAAGCAGCTTATAGTTGCACTCTTGTGACCTCTGTGCACAAATGCTTCCTCTGGGAATTGACTCTGGAAACCAGAATGCCAGGCAGATCAGTTGATTCATGGGTGTATGATTGCCTAGACTTAAAATGACAATGGAAGGACTGGGACTAGTCTACCCCCCCACCTGACATGAATACTTCAGGAAATCACTGGCATCAGCCAAGGTAGTGCACATGTTGACCATGCATGGAGCCCATATGCCTCCCAGATACAAGGAGTGAAATTTTGCTTTTTAACATCTTTCCACTTTTTTGTTGAATATGCCGAATGTCATTTTCCGCTTTTTAGCCGGGTTAAGGGACAGATTTTTCTTCCTTTCGCAAGCACAGGTTTCTCTGTTTTTTTCTTTTTCTCTCTCTACCAACACGACCAACAGCCAGGCCAAACTTCACACATTGCCTGTCTGAGACAGTACCCAAAGGTACTGGAGCACTGCACATGCATATTAAATGCATGTGATTGAATTTACCATACAACACCGAGTGTGTACATCTTTATGCACACCTACATAGACATGTGTACAGTGTATATAAATCTGTGTGGGCTTAATTGGACCATGCGATCATTGTGCTGTGATTGGTTGCCTATTAAATATCAATATTCATATATCATGTGTCAGTGGGACTTATTGCAGCCATTAGTATGTGAAGGGAAGTAATGACTAACAAGCTCCACTATAACTTGTGGTAGTCCACATTTCACTGTAAATTTACTGCTAGAAAAAAGGTTAGTAAATTTTTGCTTTGAAACAACTGGTGCGGGGTACGCAAAGTTCTGGTGTCATGCATTCTCACACAGTTTTGCATCGTTTTGTACGGGCTTTCATTCAGTACTTGGACATAAAGTCATCAAAATATCAGTGCAAAACAAATGTGCAATTGTCTAAAGAGGTTCTGATTTCGATACAGTCTTTGACAAGACCAATCCTTAAGAAAAGGGCCAACTCACTCTGCAAACCTTGATATTTACAATTATGGTATATTACTAGTTAATTTTAACCTTCAGGAATTTCCCAAAAATATGAAGAAAAAGTAAAATTAAAAATATATATAGCCTAAATTGGGGAAAAAAAACGTGGTTGCACCAGGAAGCTGTAAAATGTACCACAGGGCATCTACTTTTCAAAATATTCCCACACCGTATACGCTTCTTGCTTCACGCTGACATTTTCAGCTATTCTTTTTATGTTCCACTCACCCCTCTGCTGAGACAACACCTCCGTACAGAAAAAACCAAGAGAGATCATGCTTGCAATATCAATGGATACACTACTTGTGTTGCCTGGGAATCAAAGGATTGTGCAGGGGAAGATGTTCTTGGTCTTTCCTTGTCTCAAGACTGGAATGGCCTCCTCATTAATAATCAGATTAACTCCCAAGCAACAAAAACTTCAAGTGCCACTTAAGACCTTATCTCACATCACTCATTCTGTTCATCAATTTTCTTGTGGTTTGCATTGTGTCTGATACTGCTTCATTTCTAAATTCTGTCATTTTTCTTTGCATCCACCTCCACTTTGCAAAGGTGCCTCCGACCTGCCAGAGGGCTCGTACATACCCATAGAGGGTCTGCCAGGGCCTCAGGGCTTCCCCGGGATAGACGGAGAGGATGGGGCACCAGGCGAACCAGGTCGTCCAGGAGACCCTGGGCTTCGGGGTCCTGAGGGAAGGCCTGGAGAGCCTGGCCCAAGGGGATTTCCAGGGCCGGCCAGCAGCGGACAGGTAATGACCAGGGCTGTGGTTGAAGCACTGTTAGGTCCAGAGGGGCCAACAGTGGCCGTGCCCCCATCTGTGTCTGTATTCCTTGTATGTAAAAAATAGTGAGAAAAGTGAAAGGAGGACTTTTTCATTTCCCTTTCTTCCAAAAGCATGTAAAATAACCCCTAATTTAACGTCGCCTCTCGGAGAGGCCATAAAAGAATTACATAAAGCAATTTCGAATCATAAAGCTCCCAAAAGCAATTGAGGTGCCTTAATGTGTAGCTTCTTAAAGTAGTAGACCCTACACTGGCCAGGTATTCACCATTTCACTGCCATTGTAGGAGGTAGTATTGGAATTAATACAGAATCAGCCATTCAGTGATATGTTTTATTGAAACTTGGTGTAAAGGTAGACCCGACACTGCTTAGCACATTTTTTACCGTAAGCACTTTTCAATGATGGTCACTTGTATTTCACACCTCTAAATCAGCTTTTTTCCTGGTGTGCGTTCACTAAAAACTTTACTCATATTCAGTGTGCCAGGTTGAAAGCTGTAGGATTATTTTCAGTGGTACTTTTATGAGCTCGGAGCTGGACCAAGAGAGGGCGCAAATATCTTTCTTTGCAGTTTTATGCCAATGTACATTGTAGGTTAAGTCACCTTTTAGGACAGGGATTTATTATTTTTCTGGTTGCAGTTGACGTCTTTCAGTTCTATCAATGACATGATCCAGCAAGCTGCAAGCCTGACCCCAGGCACCATTGCATTTGTCACAGATGTCCAAGAGCTGTACTTGAGGCGCGATAATGGAATGACACAGATATTGGTAAGTTTGTACAAGACACAGCAGTCATCCACATTCGGGGATTTGCAGTGTGGTATCTGCTCCAACAAATGAGGCCAAGCTGAAAATGTGAAAGTTTGGTGATGTTAAAAACTGACCCCCTGAGCGTTTTTTGGAGAAACCCTCTCAAATCTTCCAAAATCCAACACTGTGTTGGAACCTAGCATCAAGTCCCAATATACTGGTAAATGGGCTCTACCAACCTCAACCATTCAAAATCCTCCAAAGTCTTTCTGTGTTGGATTTGATGGATTTGGGAGCGAACAGGTTTCATGTTTTTGAATGGAGCAAAGGAGGAGCTCTCTATGCATGGTGTTAAACAGTATTAGCATCAATTCATTGTGGAGGTTTGGAGAAATGTGGCAATTAGAAAAAGTCTGCCAAAACTCCATTTCTTTTATTGAAGAAACTATTAAAGGGCATGATTCTCAGCATGTTTGCACTCAATTTTGTTTGAGCAGATCCAATTTATAGAAGTAGTCTGTTCTCGCCATTCTTAAAAAATCATAAGTTTTCTTTTCGAGCCGCAAGCTCAAGTTGAAGCTCTTTTCATCAATAAAAAAGAGATCATAACCTGTAGAGTTAGTTATAGACGTGGTGGCTCGTGTTTTTTCTTGTGTGGGATTATTTTTTGCATTCTGATAGCTGGCACCCTAAGTAGTCCTAGCAGTTGTCAACATGCCTTGTTTTCTCTTTGCAGTAGATTGGGATTTATGGCTTGTTTTTAATTAGAAAGAAGTGCTTGCATCTGTTGAGTTGTTACCCCACCCCCCCCTAAAAAGTTCTCACTGCATTTGCTGGTTGGCATTGATAAGTGGTTCACTGTACGGCAGTAGTGATTCTTGGAAACATGATCACCGCAACATTTTATAATGCTTTGTGAAGTCCTAACCCTGTGCTGATCCAAAGTTGATGTTCGCACTCTTTCTTGTGGTTACTGGGATGAGATGTGGGTTTCATTGACTTGGGGGAGGGTGTGGCTGACTTATTCAAAACCAGGTTAACAGTGGGATCAATATGCAGAGATGAACAAATGGATGTGCTAGATTGTAGACGTGTATCGCTGCTAAGATTGCTGTAACCTGGGGAAAAAAGTTGCGCTGAAGTGGCAGGGGCTTTGAAGATTTGTGTGCTCAGTAATGATAAGGGGAAACTGACATGCTCTTTGTAATATTTGTAAAAAGTCCTTCTGTGTTACATGAGGCTGCAGCTATGTGTATCTTGTCCCAGATATGCCCGAAAGCTATAAAATGTAGTGAGTGCATTTCTGCCAGTGCTCAGAGCAACAAAAGATTGCAATGTCAGGCTCATGTTAAAGACTTGGGAGAACTCAACATGCTCTAAGGGACAACCCCTAAAACCTTTGGACTGGCAGCAGCCATCAATTTTAGGAATCAATTCATTTCACTTAGAAACAGGTGTCATTTTGCAAACCATAAAAACCTCAAAGTGAAAAATCATAACTAAAACGTATGATCAAATGCAACAGAATCAGTAGGATGTTCACAGGCTTCTTTTGTATTGAGGCTTGAAGCAAATCGTACACAGTGGAAGCTGATTAAAAAGGTGGCCTCGTTTGCACCAAGATAAATGGCCACATTCATCGAAATGTCAAACAATGTGACATCAAAATGAGGAAGCAAAGGTGATCTTCCTACACACAGATCTAATAAGCAAAACAATGTCTATTGAACTCTTTGTGTGAGATTCAGCCGCAGATTATTACATCCTAAAAAGATGGCCTTCTCTCTATCATTGTACTGTATGCTGTATGCCAGATAGCAGTCTGTAGTATCTTTCTTAATTGTACACAGCTTCACCGCAGAACATGATGCCAAGATGCCCTTGGCAGATCAAATTTCATCACTGCCAATGATGAAAGTGAACTCGCGTACTTCTGCATAGCATGCATAGCTAGCAGAAACAAAAGTTCCTTTCTCAGTTTGAATTTGTCTGTAGTTACGACACCCCTGTTCAGCATGCCACTGGGGGCATCACTGCCCGCAGTTGCTCGATGATCATGTTAGTTTCATGCATTTCCTCCCTGTCTCTCTAGCTCGGAGCCACCTTTAACCTAGACCCTGTGCCACCACTTCTTACCACCTCTACCACCACTCCATCTCCACAAACTCACTCTACTGTAAGTTGCCATCGCTCTTGGTTCTAGGTTCCATGTAGTGTCTGTTGAAGCTTGATGTGGATAGAAGGAGCTGTCCTTTTCAATTTCAACTTGAAAAGGGAGTAACAAAAAGAAACGAGAAAGACTCTGCTTCACCCTTAAGACCATCAAGGAATTCTGTAGAATCTTCTTGATTTTCGCCATCTTGTACCGGCTCCTGTGGGTCCTCAGGATTCTACAGGATGTATAATTGATCCTTTGGGTAATGGCAAAATACCTGCAGGATTTTATAGGATTATTGGGTTCATTTGTCTCAGAGCTTAATACTACAACATAAACTACAGACACTCACCACAAACTGAATTTCAAAGTTGCAAAAAGTTTTCAAATTGTCTATATGAGAACAGCTTTTGCAAACGTTTTGCTTTGGACAGACACAATTTATATGTTGAGTTCAAGGGAATGCTTGCTTGTGAGTTGGCTTGGTGCTTTTGTTAATGATCTAATTATACTTTTGCAAAATCTTTAAACGTTTTGCTCAGCAAACTTCCATATTTGTACACACCTATTTTTAAAGCAGTTAAGCATTCAGGAAAATCTGAATTTATCTCACATGTGCATCGGCGTTGTATTTGAGTCCATCGCAAGTCCTTTCACAAATTCAGTCACAAGTCCCTTCACAAGGCCAGTCATAAGTGCTTTTGTCACAGCTCATTTGAAAGCTTGTGAATTGGCTTGTGATGGACTTACAGGGACTTGCATGGACTTGTGATGGACTCGAATACAACACTGGTGTACACGTCTGATTTTGCAGACCGAGAAAGTTTTCACAATTCCATCAACAAAGCCCGGGCTTCCAGGACCTGATCTTGAACTTGGCGATCAACCCATGGTAAGGCATTGTGGGCAGAAAAACTCTGGTCAAATTTGATGAAAAAAATGAACATTCTGATGGAGATTGTCCATCAGTGTCCAGTTGGTGTTGGTTCCTCTTTACTGTACTCTTCTCCAATTAGAAGTGGGTAGTGATATTTGGTAGGGATTATAATTACTGACATCTTTTCCAAGGGGAAATGATACATTCTTAAATCATTTCATGCTGTATTCATGGGAGCAGGGTGTTGTGAGTTTAAATCTGATCAAGTGTAGTTTGAAAGTACTGAGCATGCCTTAAATTCTGATTGTAACAGGCAAAAACGCCACAATCAAGGTCAAAGAAAAATCCCATATTGAAAGGTAAAACCCCACATTGAAGGGCAAATTAATTTAGAGCAAAAAGCCCCATGGCCTTAGCAAAACCCCATGCATCAAAGACATCAAAGTGCAAAAGCCCACATTTTATGGGCAGAGCCCCAAATAGAAGGAACAAAACCCCTGCATAGAAGGGCAGAGCAAAACCCCACACTTAAAGGCCAAAACTCAACATTGATGGAGAAACCCTGTATCAAAGATGAAATCCCATATTGAAGGGAGAAAAGCCTATATTGAGGGACAAATCTTATTATTGTAGAGCAAAGCCCATTCATGTTTAAAGGCAAAACCCTTCATCAAAGGGCTAAAGCTCACACAAGTATTATCGAATTGTGAAATACCCCTTGCAAAAAGCAACACCACTCCCCCTGATAAAGGATAAAAAGCCCATTTTCAAACCAATTTACCCCATTATCTGTTCTCAGCTGTACATGTATGCTCTTAACCATCCAATGACGGGTGACACATACAGCGAGGACAGCATAGGTGGCCTATCTGGTGCAGACAGTCACTGTTTTCAGCAAGCCCAGCAAGCCAGACTCCCAGGAACCTATCGTGCTTTCCTGTCATCCAGGGTACAGGACGTCAAGTCTGTGGTCAACAAGGACTACCATCATCTGCCTGTTGCAAATGCCAAGGTTCTGCAAATACAATCTAATCTCTAGTTAAGAGAAGCTGCTTGTTAAGAAAGTACATGTCGTATTGCTCAAAAGTAGTTGGGAACACTCCTTTCTTGGCTAAAACATTCTCGCTCCCCCCCCCAAAAAAAAATGGGATTCAACCATGGGAATTGACTTTTGTGCTAATTCACAGACACACATCGTCTAGTAATATTCAATACTTAGACCCCTGAGCAAAATTTTTTTAAGTATTGCTCGTGTAAATTACCAGTAGAAATATTTCAATTTCTAATGTCAGGGCACCCTCCCTCCCACCCCAAGATTCTGGTGAACAGTCAAGCTTGAATTTGTTTTTCATATCAAAGCAAGGGTGTAGGCTGGGGGGGTGTGGATGCACCCCTTGCCCCCACCCTGCCCGCCACCAGCAGAAGGGAGTTCTGCTTGAGGTGTTCATATTTTTTATTTGTTAAACCAAACGGCAGTACGTTATTTTATTAAGGTGAAAGTACATGGGTTTTGATGCACAATAACCAAAAACTAAAATAGTAAAATTCTATGGCAGTCTGCTTTTCACGTGTGCACTTGCCTTCCTCTTTTAAATGCTGGAAGTTGGAGTTCCACTTTCTTGAAATTGCCACCCCCTTCCCCGGGGCAAACCAGCTTTCATCCCTGCAAAGTATGTTTATTCAGTTTCAACCATAAACCAGTAACCTGCACACACATACTTCAGTCTCCTCACACTAGACAAACTATTATTTGAAGCCTTCCCTGACATACTTCAAACTGATCCATTTGGTCAGAATTCTCTGCCATTTTACACATCCTCAGAAATAAGATATGTGGGTTTAACTCCTTCAAACTCCAAGGCATTTCAAAGATGATCAACCAATTTCTGTTTTTATTGCTATGTACAACAGGATGAGATCATGTTTCAGTCATGGGCTGGCATCTTCAATGGAAAGGGTGCAACTTTCGACAGTGATAAGCACATCTATTCATTTGATGGTAAAGATGTCATGACAGACGACGAATGGTAAGAGCAAGCTGACCCAAGGACACCTGTACCGAAAACCACTCTTAGACAGGACACTGATTTGCCAGACACAAACAGAATAAGTCACAGCATGCATGTGGTATATATCGTGATGGAATCTTGTAGGCTGGTGGATTAAAGGAGCCACATTGTCCTGCAACATGTAGAACCAAGAAGGGAGACATGACAGTGCAGAGTTTCTCTCTGAAGACAGGCTTTTTGCTGTCATGTAAGATAATACCATGCACTGATATAGAATAATCTAACATCACATAGCCCCCTCCCCAAAATCTGAATATTCAATGCCCCTACATGGGATACCTTAATATCGTACAATACTACACATTGAAGCAGATAGGAAATACCTGAATATCCCAGTTAGATATTGGATATTCAGTATTTGTTGACATGTGATTCTTGTGTGATAAATCAAGCCTAAGAAATGGGTTGTTTGAATATCCTATATAATACAACACCTGCATAAAAGCCAGTTATTCTTACCATTCTTACCTTTAGAGTGCAATTAGTCTTACCATCGCACTCAGAAACATTCGTTATTTGCATACTAATAGTCATCTGTAGCATGACGCATATTATCTAATGTTGAATATCTAATATCCCACACCTAGATTTTGGATTGTTTAGTATTCTACAAATTAATTCATCAGACCAACATCTTTCTTCCCAATCACAGGGACCAAAAGTACATTTGGCATGGTTCATACGTGGATGGCCGGCGAATGGCAGACAGCTACTGTGAGGAGTGGCGCACATATGACGGCAGCGCCAGTGGTCAAGCCAGCCCACTGGGCAGCCACAAGCTCCTAGGCCAAGAGACACAACTATGCAGTAATGCCCTGGTGGTGCTATGTGTACAGGTATCACCGGACACTTAAAACAACTATCCGTAGTGGAAGCGACAAGCTGGTTAATCAACCACGAAGAGGGGTTAGAGTTATTACTGGGGTCTCTTCATCGGCATTCTACAGATTTTTTTTTTCCTCCATGCTAACTGAGGAACCGTTCTGAAGGCCCTATTTTAATTTTGTTTTTGTAACATTGAGGAGAACTAAATTAATTTGTACTTCCTATCTGTACCCCGGTTCTATACAGATGAGTACCGGTAGCATTTTTAAACTCCTTTTTGTTGGAATGAGTTTCAGGCGGGGGTGTCTTTCATGTGAGAAATTTCTTTGAAGAAATCTTATCCGGCCAAAAATAAGACTAAACCAGTGTGTTCTGTTTAAATAAAAAAGAGAAACCTTGCAATCATTGTTTCGGTGCTATGAATCATACAACAGGTTTTACAGATGTAATTACTGTAAACAAGTGCCTTTAATAGCAAACTTTTAGTGTATATTGTGGGGGTTCTCATTTTAAAGAATATTTCTGTGGGTTTTTTATAGTTAATACTTTCGCTGCCACAATATGTAGTAAGAAAATGGTTGATTTCAACAGACTCTTGACCATTCTTTTCTTTCTTTTTTATTTGTATAGTTTACTTACATTTTTATTTATAAACTCTGGAAGTGTTGAGGAAAGTGCTGAGTAAAAGTTATTCCCCTGTATCTGAAGCCCTTGCAGCATTTTGTACATTCTACTGAAAAAAGTGAGATGTGATTTGTTTGGAGTACACATTTGAAATCATGTTTAGGCTTTAGAATAGTCTAGTTTTGATGTTTTAAGTTGTTTATCCTGTTGGTTTGACAGCTGGTAACAATTTTGGATATCCCCAGTGAAAAAGATGATGCCAGTAAATTAGTCTTGGAAGGTTCTAGGGGTTTCTTTGGTGCCATTTAGGTTGTTGAGCATACAGTATTTGCGTGCCGCACAAAGGCTGCCTTTTACTATCAGACAGACAGCATGGTTTGATGTGTATATTCAGGTAAGAGCTAACTTTTCTCTACTCTAATAGAATCATGCTGATAATAATCTTTAATGTTTTGGTGCATTATTCATTATAATTCCAGAACATATCAAAAGTTATCTTTCCAAGTATGAGTGTTTGCCAAAAATTTCAATATTTACCCATTTTTATACTATTTATAGCAGAAAAATATTTCAATTACATTTGTGTCCTAACTCGTGAAATATCAACTCATATGTGATTTATACTTGCTGCCTCAGAAAATTTCAAATATTTTGAAAAGACACACCCCCAAACACCTATGTGCCATGTTCATGTATATACATGTATGTATTTGTTGCGGTATATTTTTAAGAGCAGAAAACATTAGACATTTAGAACAGCTATAAATTAAACACAAACTCCTGGTGCTAACTGTAAGAAATGTTTTTATAAAATGGTTAGCATGAAAAATGTTGCTTGTGAGATACAATGTAAACATAAAACATAGGTAAGATCTTGGTCCAATGTGCTGTTTGGGTTGAATTGTTGGTAAATAAAGGTGAATCGTTAAGTAGTCATCAGTGTCCCACACCCTCATTTTGCTTGAAATGTGACCTTGTGATTATCTTACTGATTTTGAATTTTTGGACTTTTGATCATTCAGGTTTTGCTGCTGGTTTGTATTTGGTAATGAATTCCTGCACTCACATATTTCTTCCTCGTAGTCTTGAAGAGAGCTGCTGGCTTGTTAGCTATTGAGTGTTTTTGTTATTTTTACAAAACCCTCTGTTGGATGCTTAGGAGATTTCTCTTCATTCCCCGGTCCCACTCCCGAAACCTGTCAGTGTCAAGTGCTCCGTTTTCAGTCGGAAGGAATATGGAAGAATTCGAACCCGAGGCTTGTAAACACAAAACTGGTCAAATCTCAGCAAGTAACTTTATTCATATCTACAATGTAACCCAGGGTTCATGCAATCTCCTGCAAAACTGACCAGCAATTACAATTCATTAACATTTTGCAAAAGTCCATTTTAAATAAAAATGTTACAAACGTGCTTTGAACTGAAGTACAAGAGGGAGGAAGAGGATTATGTATTACAGAAATTCAGTGACCACACACATTTGTTAACTACAATTGAAGTCTTCCAATGCATTTGTGCAGAAGTCTCACTTTTCAAGAACGTAACTCTTTTAGTATACATGTTCATGTAGATGAGGTACATGTAGGTAAAAACAGCACCTGGGAAGTATTTAGAATTATAAGTGAAAGCATGGACAGCACTCTAAGGTAAGGTTGGACCTGGGCCTAATATTGCCCAGGCTTGTGGCACTCCTCAGCAGGTATTTACTACAAATGCCTTTTCTTGCTGAGCAAAATCAGCTTGGAACCGGTCAAGCAATCTGCAATGACTTGTGAGCTGATTAACTGGTATTGACTGTGAAGCAACTATTTTATAGGCTAAGCAGTTCTATGACAGCGGCTGCCTGTTGTGTCGCTTCAAGCAAGTATGCATGCATGTATTCCGACACTGCATGCCCAATATTAAACCCGCCTGAAGTCCATCAGGAGCAGGCATACGTGCATGTGAAGTCTGCCCCATCAGTATGACCATATGCCAACTCGCATGCATGCTCTTTTCTCGAATGACCTTGTCTTTTGTTGAAAACAAAACAGGTTCATTGTTGAGCCACACTGCCTGGTCATTTCCCACAATCCACTCCTACCCACGCTACATGAAGAGTGGACTGTACTTTGCTTATGTCTTTCATTTATGCCCCTTTCATGGTAGTTGACTGCAGGCCATAAACACTGTATGTGGAGAAGAATCTGGAACACCACTAAAGCATAGTTTTAATGGGGACTTCCTGCACGTCTGAACCAGCAACACAGCCTTTTTTGACACCCCAATGCTGGGTCACTTATGATGCTGGTGCAAGAAATACCCTGCATTTCCAGAACCCATCAAACTCTAACTATAGCTTTTCTCAGTTCTAGATCTATCATAACACTGCAAAACTAGGTGCTGATTTCATGGATCTTCAAGGCACCAAAATTCACCGCACAGTGGAAATGCTTGCTTAGCTAAATAAGGTTACAAGCCAGACTGCCATGTAAATGATTTTTTTTTGTGACTGGTTTCAGTTAAACACAAAAATTGGCTTTGCAGTATTTTGGCTCGGTAGCTCTGCAAACTTGGGCCGAGATGTTGGATTTTGTCAGACATGGGGTAGCAGCAATGACTTAATCCCGAGTGTGGATGTACTGAGCAGGATACATATGTATCCATTTATGTTGAGAATGAGTGCACAGGAATTGTTTTTAAAGTGGTACTCTCTACAGCTTGGTTGCTCGTAAGTCGAAGATGGTTGTCTTTCTGCTCAACTTTCTGCCTTCTCGTGCAAAATACCTCTCAAGCTGCAAAATTGTCTGATCAACGTTGTAAGTTTTGCTGAAATCTAGCCAATTCTGCAGTCAATTCAATATTCTGGAGATGGAACTGGTCTTGTTTCGGTTGTCCAGAACCTCTCCCAAAACAAATGTCACAATCATTCTTTTAAACACACAGCCACTCCAATCTCTCCCTTGACAAACATCCATCAGTGATGTCCACTTCCATGATCATGGCTGTCCTCTTTCCGCAGGAGCTTCTCAATTCCTACGGCAATGACGAATGCTCCAGCACCCCACTTAAAGCCCTTGAAGATTATTTTGTACCAGGGAACTCCCGGCATGTAGTGTTGATAACGCCATACTTCATTTCTGTGGGATAGAGAAGGGTTTGGTATAGTCAGAACAGTGGTGACGAGAAAAGGATACTGCTCTTCAAATCAAATTATGCAGAGAATTTGTCTCCGGTGTGGCCTGTCAAGTTTAATGTGAACACCACTGCTGTAGTCTGAATCATTAATAACAATAAAGCACCAATCAATGCCATTTAACTGTACAATTAACACTGAACATGTAACTTCTAAAACTATTGCCAGTAGTACCTGTATGTAATTTAATTAAAAAATGTAGGGGGCTATCCATGTACAATACTTAGGATTAGGAGCACTGCCCCACACAAGTCACATTAAATCAAAATGAAGAAAACTAAGTGGTTTCACAAGAAGATCCAGCATTTTGACTAGGAATGTATTTTTCACCCTGCACAGTAACCCTACATGTATCTGTTATGTCCCAACTACAATGTAAGTCCCAATTATAGTTGGGACCGTTCCAGCTAGAGGGCTATAGTTGGGCCGGCCCAACTATACCACAGAGGTTCAGTGTGCATGTGCCAAAGTCATATTGTTTATGGTGCCATGCCATGCAGTCACCGATGAAGTGCCATATTTTAGGTGAAATTGTTTCAAGCATGAGATGCATATTGGATAAAGTTGATATGTTTTCTATAGAAACTAATCAATAATCATTGGGCCAGCCCAACTGCTGCACTACAGTAACCCTGTTACGTCCCAACTATAGCATCATGCTATAGCCTCAGACTAGGGGCCTGTCTATCATGTCTACTGGACTACCTTTGTATCCTTGGCCCCACAACAGTCAATCCAAAATGTGGAGACTCCGTGAAAATGCCTTCTATCATCTATGAACCCGGTTTTTGGTAGAGGTTTATTCACCCCATCAGATCATTGATGTATAAATATGGGTGATTTCCAGTTTGTTTCTGTCCATAAAATTTTGGTTGCAATTTTGTCGTCCATATCGGCCTTAAATTGAACTAAAACAACATGTTTAGTTTTATAGTCTTAGTAATAGTAGGCCTAAAGCACGGTAAAAATCATTTGACCAATGCTAAGCAAAGTTGGGATCTGTTTGGTCTGGGAACCATACAGTGTAAAAGACGGTAGTCCAAACTGCTGTTTTGATTGCGCAAAAAAAAGATCAACTGATCACACCTCAAAACATGAAACAAGTGCACTTATGACTTCGTCCGGAAACTAGGCAGCTACATCACGTAAGCCAACATCATGGCTAGGCACTTTCCATGTACTACTAGGCCTAACCGCCAAATTAAGAGTTGATTTACCTCAACCAAGGATCTCTCAATCCCCTCCTGGCGAGCCTATCTTGAATCTCCTTGAGCTCTGGAACGTCCTCCACTTTCCATTTATTCCAATCTGGAATATCGTACGGAAATTTCCCCATGGCTGATGTCTAAATCTACAACGACTGCGTCTGAAAAGTGCCAGGAATGAAGTGCTTGTGCCTCTTTTCCGTAAATTGTGCTGCGACTGCAATGCTTGTAATAAGGAAAGTAACGTACATGTACATGTACAGCACGCTTAGCTACGTACCTTGCCGACGTGGATCGTACGCAAGGAAAACGAGGTTGAAGGTGGGGTGCGATATGGCCATATGCGGTAAGATAGAGGGCGCTCCGCGCCGAGGCAGCTGGACACCGTACCACAAGTTGTCACATGAACCAACTGACCACAGCCCGCCGTGCGCAAGCTTCAGGTGCTCAACTAATTAGCTTCCTCTTGTCAAAATGCCGGTTTCCCACCAGATCTTAAGTTCAAGTGTTACATCGATTCCCATCCTTCCTGGCTCATTATTCCCTTGCATCCCGTCTGTGATTGTCTTTTGCAAATTGCATGCAGCACCGTCCAAAACGCTTAGATAGGAAAACCTCTATCATGGTCACCGGACGAGGGTTAGTCCCGAGACGGAGGGGGCCCAGAGGAGGCCTGTGCACATAGTCTGTCCCTACAAAGAACAGTGAAAACATTATTGTGTGAACATGGTGAAGCAAGTAGTTCTTCAGACTTTGATGAGCAAAACAGGCAAACCTCAGAATTCATTTTTCTGGACCCATGTGCATGTCAAAGTGCGCTTTTGACACAACAGTGTTCTCCTTATGCTCATGGTTCTGTTTTGTCTGAAAGACTTGGAAAGAACTTGGACCATTAAGAGGCAGTGTGATTATTTTTCCACAAAGACTTTTTTTTTAGAGCTACACATGAGCAAAGGATTCTGTGCATTATTTTTATTAAGAATCTTCACCATTGTATCGGAAAGAGTTCCATATATATGCGGATACCATTTTTGGCACCCTGTACATAAAGCCTTTTAGACTGCTCTGAAAAATTCCAAGTGCCTGAGCAAAGGACCCAGTATTTTCCCTCAAAATTGAACTTTTCTTGACATGTTTTTGCTTTCTGATGGCTAATAGCTACATGTACCTGTAGGTCACTATAGGGAATAATTACTGTCGTCCGTATGGAACTCTTTACTTCTGTTGCTCAGCTTAGTTTTAAATTAATTCACCTGCAGGGAAATCTGTCAATTAGTTATTAGGACCGGGCTAAATGAATGCTGTCATTATAGGCCTATATGCTGGGAGGCAAAGTAGCCCATGGTCAGTGCCATTACATTTTTCTGTACAAATGAAACAATGATGGACGTTCAATGTTTGTGCTAGGCTGCCTGAAGTGGGATACCTTGCAAAATCTTTGTTATAAATGTTTCTTTGTGCAGAAATTGTAAAATAACCAAGTGCTAAGATTGGCCATTCTCATCTGTGAAATAGCGCCATTGCCTGAGATCTTTTTAAAAAAAAAACCACTATTGCGAGCTCAGAATACAGTGCCCTTTCTCGGTCTAGATCGAGGCTGTAAAGCTTGCAGGAGGATGAAATCTACCGTTCAGACTGCCATCTTGTATTTCTGAAAGTATTGGACCAAATGCAGTCCTTCAACTTTTGCAATGAGATTTGCATCAATTTTCAAAATAGTGATGGGCCTCGTGTCTCACGACTGTTTTGAGATGTGGCTACATGTATCTCTGTAGAGAAATATCTTGACAAGCTGAAAATTGAAACGAAAATGAAAGATGAAGTGAGCATTAATTAACTTGATAAATGTATGTGTCGTGAACACCTGAGAAACTTGTATTTTTCCTAACTTTTTGAAGCGGGAATATTTATTACTGTTGTCTATGGCAGCTTATGCTGGTCTGCACCGTAGCTCTATCATCTGCACCCAAAAGGAGCACGACTTTTTGCAGGCTTTGTATCTTTGATAATGCCCTCACTAGTTGGTTGAAATGTACAATATCATCCTTTTACGTTTTGCAATCTGAAGTTTGCCTGTCAACAGTGTCCAGTAAGTGACAGTGATTGCTTAGTAGTTTTGTGGAAGGATTTATGCCTGCTGTCTTTTGTATTTAGTCTTTGCAGTAAGATTTTACGTTCTATTTGTATTTTGCCGATACACACCAGAAAAACTTAAGTTTTATTTTCCACATATCTGCAAACATGGCAAAAAGCCAGGGCTATTATTAAATGAAGGTGATAATCAGATGGTGTTCAACTGCATACATCATTCCATTGTGACTTACCGGTACTTGAGTACTTCCTGTCGCATTTCTTTAGCTGTTGAAATTTATGTTTAATTCATGTCATAATGTAGGCAGTGCCTCGGCATACATCCCAAGTATGCCACATCAAGCGATCGGGCACCCATCTGATGCTTGAAACGGTCCAAAGCTTCTTGGGAGATACTTCTGAAGCCTCAAAGTTCCTTTCCAGACCAAAGGTAGAGCAGTCGGAGCACTACACCTTTCTCCCGCAGAAGTTTGAGATAAGGGGCCATGTCCATTGAATGTGGAGGGGAGAAGTACGTGGAGACAAGTGGACAACCACATCTTGCAAGACAGGAGTGGCTGTATGGACAAACAAGTACTGATTGTTGGAGACCCATGTACGTGTAGGTGCACATTAGGGATCGCCAGTTTCAGTGTATTTGTTTTTTACAAATGTATGTGTATCAAGGACAGCCGGTGAGGTACTTGAATCTGTTTTATTGTGTGTGCCTGAGAACAAAAAGTTCATACAGTGTTGGTTGGGCGAACTTTGTGTGGACTACAGGTATATCGGGTCCGCTGAAAGTAACCCTTCCTCTGAAAAACCTGTTTTTGAGGTAGTTTTGGGGTAACATGATCCATAAAAAGTGAAGAAGAGTAGTCAAGGAAATTGTCAACAAAAGTCCAGGGCAATAAGTCATGCTTATTCTGCGCACAAACCATTGTGCATGTGGTGAGCCACACGTAATGACGTTTGGGTGAGGGAATACATGTTGCCCATCTGTTGTTCCTGCACAGTGGCCGTACAGCCAATAGACCCCTGTACTTAAGACATCACACTGTTACATGTGCACATTTCTGAGGAGCAAGTGGGGGCCCATGGTCCACGTACCTCCATAGGAAAGTGCACCTTTATAGCAAAGTGTCTCCTGACATACAAGTCAGTCGATGAAAGCATTTCTGTCTGCATTTTGACCAGGGAGCACTAAAGACCTGCTTGTTGGGTAACTGGCTCATCAGACACCAGGAGCTTGTCCCAGCTGTCATGACATATCCCCTGGTCAGGTGCTCCAGCAATAGTACAAGTGAGTTTGTTCCAAAATCAAACACAAAGAAGCCTGTTATAAATTGTTGCTTCATGTATATGGAATTCGGAAAAAGAGGAATATGATGGCATATATAGAATAGGGTATTTGCCGCTTTTGGATTTGCTTTAGACCCTCTTACAGCTGATGGGAGAAGATGAATTCTTCCTGGATCATACTCAAGAACTTGGCAATAGCCTGATCAATCTCTTTGAAACTTGGCAGGCATGTGAAGGCACATACTCTATGAAGCGTAACTCTGAAGTTTCAGTTCAGTCTGACAGAAGTTTTTGTGGTTATTGTCATTCATAGGTTATGCTTTCAGGTTAGTTGTCCATCTGTTCTTGAAAACGGGTGGTTTATTGAGAATGACATGCTCCATTTTCAGAAAATTGGTGTCAAATGACCTCAAAGACATCAGGTTAAAAATTCCTGAGGGCTCAGCATGATGATGAAACATTTTAACAAAATCTTAGCAATTGACAGTGGGAAAGGTTGAATTCTGTCCCTCTCCAGCTTTTTTAGGGTTGTTCTGAGAAAGCAGCGAGTGTGCTGCTAGTGCATTCAAAAGTGTCTTACATCCATAAGATTTAGTGTCAGTACACTAAATATAAGAATCTCCTTTTGTTATAGGTCAGAAAAACAGACTGCAGTGATATTGAGGATGTGCTCTTTGATAGTGATGATGTCCCAGCAATACAGAGGGACTATGCCGCTTTCAACAAGGAGATTCTCGACCTTCGGCAAACATTAAATACATGTATCTTGGTTTCCAAAACTACCGAGTGAAACTGGAAGGTTGATGATGCATTTGACATGAGGGAGAAAGCTGGAAAAACCATGAAGGTGAAGATTGATTTCTCAAATATTGCCACATCAGAAAGAATACAAGTTTATCTACTAAAGGTTTCAAGTTCATCTACTAATTCACAACTATTTATCGCAGTGGAGTGATGCATGTACATGTATGTGTGTGCCCCGTACGAAAAATGTCACACATTGTATGGAGTAATGTAGCTACATTGTAGGTTTTGGAGTTCAGGGAGATAAAATGATGGTCCAGTTCTTGTCATTCTTTTATAAAAAGGATTTATCTTTTCCCCTCATGAAGGTGCCAGTAACATTTTTCACCTTTTTTTTTGCAAAAAAGGCAACATTAAGTGGGGAAGTCCCCCTTGATGTGCATTTTGGAATCATTACAGGGGATGTCTATTTGGGCCCATATTGACAATGGCCGTGAAGGGGCTAGCGATGCCATTGTAACTTGGAAATGTGGGGTTGCATACCTCATTACAGGGCACCAAATTTGGAATGCATGACGGGTCAGCATGTTGAGATCCAAAGTGTGGTGTGTGTGCCGTGGGGCACTTCAGTTCTCATGCTTTATAAGCTCAAACAACTTTCAAAAACTGGAACGACCTTTACAGAGAAAAGGTAATCTGTACCTGTAATTTCAGTTTTCCCGAACTCATGAATTAAGGCACTGAATAGACAGCAGAAATTCAGCCCAAATGACTTGGCGAGGTGTAGAAAAGGTGGGGGGAGGTGTACTGTGAAGAAGCGTTGTCCCATGAGGCTGTTGATGGCATTGGAGCCTGATATTCCCATGATGCCTAGTCACCATACTAAGATCTGTCTACAGATTCCTCAGTGGAGTCCCATGGCCTTGTGGTTAAGAGCATTGAATTTGCAGTCAGTGGGTAAAGCCCAAAGTCGAGCTTCAAATCCAGCCTGGGGTCATGGTGTGGTACCCTTGGACAAAGTGCTTTGTCACTCATTGCTTCTCCACACCCTGGAGTAATTGGGTACCTCTGAGGTCAAAGATAGTTATTGTAGTTGATTTTGCTGCTTTGAGCTGAAATGACAGCATCAAGCTGTATACTCTTCAGGGAGCCGAGATGGTATTTGGAATGTTTGTGGGCCCAGTGAGCACTGGTAATAAGGGAAAGCACTTTGATCTTAGTTAAAAGTTCTATATTAGAACCCTGTGATTATTATATCGAGGAGGTTGAAACCTCAGTTTGGTCTCTATTATACTGCCAGTCATTGGAGCCTCAGATATGCATGTATGTATGTAACATATGGTAGATCATAGTGTAACCTCTGCTGCTGCTTCTGCATTGGTTTCTTGACTTCATTCCCATGCCTGGTCACCATACTAAGATCTGTCTGCAGATTCCTTGGTGGCCTCTCCTACCTCTGTCCTTCCTCAGTAAAGGTAGACTGCAGGAGCCTCCTTGATCCTCCCAGGCCAGGAGGTTGCTGTGGCATTTGCCTCTTTGACCTTCACCTGAGGTGTCTTAGTAGTGCTGAAGGTGGTCCACAGCACTACTTTGGTCTGATAGGGAGGCCCTTGTTTGACCCTGACCTTTACATTACTGATCACTCTGGCTATCACTTACAGTCCGACCCTTTTCACATTGGCCATGTTGGCCTGAGTTTAAAGGCCAACCCTACATTTCATTGTTATTTGGTCAGCTTCACAGCGGTCCCAGGATTAAAAGCGCTCCACTTTAATTCCTGATACTTTACAAATACCTATAGTCATTTCACTCTCTGAAGTGTTACTGCTTTTTGGAGATGATTTCTTGCTTTTTCATGGGCCTCACACATTTCTTCCTTCTTTTGCAGGGCATATATTCACTGATATCTTGAAGCTTGTCGGGACGATTGAGGACCAAGCTGACAGGTACATGTAGCTATGTTAGTAATCTTTTTGATTGTGCTGATGTGTTATCTTCACCTGTTGTATGTGAAGGTCCCCCTCCTGTTCATCCTCAGCCACATAGACATCCAGCATATCCTCAACTTGGCTGCCACTGTTTAGATGGTATGGACTTGTACTCGTCTTATCAGAGTCAAGAATTTCACACCTCTCTTGACATTTATGGCTCCCAAGTTTATGGCCCTGATGGGTGGTTAGTTGTTGTAGGATGCCAAATTACAGTACAGGTCAGAATTTTGGCTGACACGCTAACACGATCAGTGAACCTGACACGCTGTTCAATACACGCTTTGCGGTTTTAACATGTATTGCTGGTCCAATGCACAATAAGCCTGACCCCGAACCTCATTATCTCAGCAGGGCTTGTGACCGCAGATTGCAAAGGTGACTGTCAACGTGAAACAAACCACTGCACATGCAGGGCCATCGCTCCAGCTTCGAGTATGTGTGTAAATGTACATATACTGTACATACATGTACACGTACATTTTGCACTGCATGGCAGTGCACTGAATAAGTAAAAGCACGTACGTGTAGTGCCTGGCTGGCAAGATGACCATCTTGAAGTATCGAAACATGTATCACTATCACAGCCGTTTTCTTTTGATTTTGGATCGCTAAAGTTGTTCAGTTGGATTACATCTGGAAAATGTCAAATTTCAGTGAAACTGACCGGTACTCCACCGTGTGTATTCAGCTACTACAAAACTTTTTCCCAAATGTAAGTTGTGAATATTAAACTTACGGGATCAACTGGAGCGACGACAACACTTTTCTTGCTAGTTCTAATGCTAGATCAGTTTTAGGCAATTCCTGATTGCGCGAGAACTTTTTCACAAATAAGCAGTAACAGTGAGAGAAATCTATTCCTCAACCAGAGCTATTATAACAAGCTGATTTTCCAATTTTACAGTTGTTTTATGGAAATTCAGTTCATGTATCAGAATTCCAGTAGATTAAAAAACCCACTGAACTTGTGAAAATTTAACTTGACTTTTTGACTGTCAACCATGCCGCGACCTAGCCTCGACCAAGCAATCACAAAAGTACAACTACCCCAGTGCTTTCATCCTAACCACCAATCATAAATTGAAACTAGAGCTTACAGTGTATCTGTCTGTTGCCAACAGAACAGGTGGCTTTTTCGCCTTTTGAAATGTGACCAATTAATCTACAGCATAAACCTTTTGGTGAAATGATTTGATCATGTCCATATATGTTCAAGTTTGGAACCCAGTCATACATGCACTTAAAGAGACATTGTGCTTGGGAGAGTGCCCATTTAATGCCACGTGACATGATTATCTGATGACATCATCATCACATGAGGTCAATTTTGTCTAAAGCACTTCCCTTTCAAAACACCTGCCAAGTTTCAACCCAATCAAACATGCTCTTCAGGAGATATAGTACTTTAAGGGATGCACCTTTAATGTCACGTGAATTGTCACTTAATGACATCATCATCACTTGAGGTCACTATTCGTGTCAATCACTTCCCTTTCAAGATATCTGCAAGGTTTCAACCCAATTGGACATATATTTCAGGAGATATAGCGTATTAAATGGTGCCCCTTTAATGTCACATGACTTCTCACCTGATGTTGTCATCCTCACATGAGGTCAATATTTGTCTAAATCACTTCCTTTTCAATATATCTGCACGGTTTGATCCCAATTGGACATACGCTTCAGGAGATTAAGCGTTTTAATAATGCCCATTTAATGTCACACGACTTATTGTTTGATGACGTCATCACTAAATGAGCTCAATATTTGCCTAAAGCACTTCCTTTCTAAGATATAGGCAAGGTTTCAACCCAGCACTAAAAACAACAGGGTAATACCGTTGAAAAAAACTTAACACCTATTACCACTTTTAAAGAATTAGTCCACTTCCGGTTTCAACCGGAAGGGTCACGTGATTTGACCCACACGAGATGAATTGAAGGCCCAATATTACTCTGGCACTTGGCGCACGTAGAATGTTGCGGAAAGCCACGGTTGACTTCATATGGATTTGTAAAATTTAACGGAATATTTCAATACGTAAAATTTGATAATAAATCACTTGATGACGTCATCATGAAGTAATATTGAAGTATCATCTTTGCCCCAAGGTCTTTCCTTGGTGTAACTTTGATGACGATCAAAGATAGATAAGTAACCAAAATGGTGCCTCAAAAACGTGTACAAAGTCAATGGGCTGAAAAATATATTGAAAAATGAATAATAAATTAGTTGATGACGTCATCACAATGTCATTGTTCTAGGACCATCTATACAGAAGGGTTGTTCATTGACATAAGTTTGATGAAGATCTGAAGTTGCCAAGGGACCAAAGTCGTAGGTAGAAAAACATGCATAAAACAAATGGGATTTTAGTCAGAAGAAGAAGAAAAATTGGAGGTCTCTGTCTGTGGAACAGAACAAAGGGCTTTTTAATATCTGCAAGATTTGAACCTAATTGGATATCTACTTCAGGAGATATAGGGCCTTAAAGGTTACACCCTTAATGTCACGTGACTTGTTTGCTAATGACGTCATTATCACATGAGGTCAATGTACCTCTAAAACACTCCCTTTTCAAGATATCTGCTAGATTTGAACCCCATCAAACATGTGCTTCAGGAGATACAGGGTCTTAAAGGATGCACCTTTAATGTCACATGACTTGTCTGCTGATGACTTCATTATCACATTAGCTCAAAATTCCTCTTAAGCACTCCCTTTTCAAGATATCTGCAAGATTTGAAACAAATAGGATATACACTTCAGGATATATAGTACTTTAAATGAGGCACCGTGTAATGTCACGTGACTTGTCTGCTGATGGTATTGTCATCACCTGAGGTCAATTTCCGTCTGTAAACCTTCCCTTCCTGACTGCCTGCAAGGTTTCGACCCAATAAGACATATACAATACAATATACAATACAAAACATTAAACTTATCGCGGAAAAGGCACAGATTAGGTTTGACCCCTTTGGCTTTCCATAGAATGCGATCTGCTCTTGGCAGCATTTTGCCAAGTCCTGAGTATATGCCCTACGCACTGCGCCGTCTATGTTGCAGGCAGATATTGGGCGTCCACACACACACAGTAGCATTTGCACAGCATGCTCATGGGATTTTCGAGTTGGCAATTTATATTTTAGGGTTTTTTTGTCGGCAGCGCTTCATGTGATTGAAAAGTACACCAGTTATGCACTTCATGCAGCTGACTCCAATGTTTTAGCTGTCATCTCATTAGTTCTATGTTCTAATTCCTACCCAGTCACTCAAACGAACATTTTTACTTTCTTTGGTATATAATACATGGATATTCATCATAAATGGGTGTTTTATTGTGATGACTTTGATGAAGTTTTATATTTGGAAATAATTGGTTTTTCCTTTAATAAACTTCCTGACTGAAATGTTGGGTTTCTGGAGAAGTAAGTAGATACCAGTATATTAGCTTTTTGGTTGAATACAGGGTACATGTACATGTGTGTGTAAATCATCCATAATCAGTTGTTTAAAGTTGTTTTTTTGTTGCTTTTCAGGACTACAGTGAGAAAGCATCTATGCTGTTCTACTGACACCATTGTGCTGTCTTGGGAGGGAGCCGGCAGATAGACCACGCCCAGCCATTCCACTTTGTCACTCATCTGGTGGTCACAAAAGGACAGTATTCAGGTTGACGGGGTGTACTGATGAACGATTGACTGACGGAGCAGGAAATTCATTGAGGCAGTAAAGGGGTGAGTTTCTATCAGGCTATTTCCTTCATGTCTCAGGAAAGCTTTATGTCATGTAATATATGCATGCATACATGTGCACAGCGATGTTTATTTGTTGCATACTGCAACTGCATTCCAATTCACATCATGTATATGTACTTATTTCTGATTAAAGGGAAGCCAAATGAAGCTGTTTTTAATTTTGAAAATATTCAATTATTTTTCAACTTTATATTTACCACTTTCCAAATGCTGACTCTAAATACCTGTTTGCATGTACATGTATGACTGTGTCAAATCTCATTTCATATTGGTTAGTTTCAGGTTTAGATTCATGTTAGAATAACAATGTCTAATGTCAGTGTTTTTTCTTGAATTGTTCAAAACTCAACATTGTAACCGCTCTTCAAGGAGAAATGCAGTGAAAGGGTACAATGGAGTATCAATGTATGTGTACATGTACTTGTATGTACATGTACCTTAGTTGTGTGTATGGCACTTTCTATTGGCTGTTGAGAAAAGGACAAACACTGAACTTTTTTTTTCTTTTTTGGCCTGCTGTCCCAGCAGTTATTTTGATATCATCTACTGTTTCTTTAGCTTCCAATGGTGACATCATAATCATATCTTCATTGTCCTTCTTCATTTTGGCATCTGGTTCCTACTCTCATGGCTTCTGTTCGGTTTCAGTGACACCCACACATACGCGTTCAAGTACGTTTTCATTCACTTGTTTTTCATTTGTTTCATGTTCAACTAACCTTCTCACATACCTCTTCAGCATGTTGGCATGGAAGGTCTTGACTGTACCGTCGCCAAGATCTATAGGGTAATCAACATGTCCGACTTTGGCTAGTACCGGGAAAGGACCCTAGTTTGTTGTGGTCAGTGTGTAGGAGTAGTATTACGAGGTCACCGCCATTGAAACTTTGGGCTCGACTTTTTGCATTGTAGTAGTGTTTGTTCATATCTACCAACGTTTGCAAATTCTGCTGTGCGATTTCACACGTCTTTTCTAGACGCTCGCGGAGATCGAGAACATGTTGGTATGTAGTTTTAACTTTGGGATTTTCAACCTTACCCGTCCAAAGTTCGCGTAAGATACATGTAGCTATCGGACCATGGACTGTGCGATTGAAAGTACTTCGAAGGGTGCAAATTTCAAGCTTCAGTGAGGTGTTTCATGATATTCAAAGAGGAGAGGTCCAGGATAGTGATCCCAATCGCGCAGCTTTTCTGCGCGAAGCCGTTTCAACATTAGTTTAAGTACACCGTTCATGCGTTCAACCAAACTGTTGCACGAAGAATGGTATGGAGTAGTGGTCATCTGTTTAATCAACAAGAGCCTACTCATTTCTTTCATGAGATCTGATGTAAACTGTCATCCCTGATCGGAAAGAATTTCCGTTAGGAAGCTGACTTGTGTGAATACATCGATCATGGCGTCTACTACCCTGGTAGTTTCAATACTACCGGTAGGTAGAGCAACGGCTTCTGGATGCTGCATAATCAATCAAGGTCAATATGAAATGATCGGCCTCTGTCAGATTTTGGGTGAAGGGGGCTGTAATGACCACAGCCACACGTTTAAATGGCATATCTATAAGGGGCATATCTCCCAGTGGTACATGTACCTTGGTCACTTTGCCTTTGGAATCGTCCATTGACATGTGTCGTAGGAACGACAATATCGGGTGATATCTGCCTGACACCCTGGCCAAAAGAATTCGCTCATAACCTTATCACACGTTTTCCGTGCTCCTTGGTGTCCACCCAGGATGGTTTCGTGAGCTACATGTACTTTAATTACATTGACGCGGTATTTAATAGGAACTACAAGTTGGTGACGTGCGTCTCCATGTTGGACAGTGGGGGATTTGAACTTCCTTTACAACACACCGTCAGGCCAGTAGAAAGTGGAAGTTGATACTGAGCTACAGCCGCTGTCGCATAGAACTTTACATTTTATGTCATTAACCCAATCGGTCTGTGACTGGCAGCATAGAACAATCTGAGTTTTTACACGCCTTGCTCATTACGGGGAGTCCGTATCCGCACATCAATGTGGCGTAACCGTCATGCGTACAACATTCACTGAGCGGGGTGAAATCATGCAAGGTCGATATATAAGCTACAGTTTCCGTTGCACTAGTTGGACCACTTTCTCTAGATTTTGTGGCTTTCTGTGTGTTTTGCCCCATGTCACATTTAGCCTGAAAAAGGCCAGTAATTGCTGAAGCTGTCACGTTACAGCGACTTTCTCAATTTCTTTAAACTTACTGCAGCAGTTACACGCTATGTGACCCAGTTTGCCACATACAAACCATGTTCGGGATGATACATCTCGTGGTGTGTTGGCGTTGGTGAAAGATTTGAATGATTTGGCAAACGACGCACGATGCATCTGCTTCAGATCTACATGTAGGAACCACCTACATGTATTTGAATATTGGCCACACAGTTTGCTGTTCCCAATAAATGGAGCAAAGCTGCCATGAGCATCCGTATACTGCTCTGCAAATTGGGCCATTTCCGTAACATTAGCCGGTTTATGCTCTCATAGGAAAAGAGCTCCATGTAAATGATCACTGCAACAATTCATGAACTGTTCCCGCAAGAGTAAATCTTTCAGACCGTCATACATGCCTGTCTTACATGTAGGTAGACATATTTTTTGGCCATAGCAACCCAACGCATCAGTAGGTTATCAAGACGGACTGCAAACTGTGGCTCACTTTCATCTTTCTCAGCTTTGGAAAACGGAAATTTCTCTCTAAAGGCATGCTCATTCAGATGGAATTGCTTGAGTAACACCTCCTTGAGCATTTTGTATTTGGCTGACTCATCTGAACTTAGCTGAGAATACACATTGAACGCTTTGCCTTTCAGGAGAGCACTTCGATGTTTGGCCCACGAGTCAGTGTTCTATTCTTGCATGGTTGTGTACCGTTCGAAGCGTTGGAAGTATGCATCCAAATTGTCATGCCTCTCGTGAAATACTGGTAATTTTGGAGTGCAGGGTTGTATTTTGACTTTGAATTGAGATTGTGCATCGCTGTCTTTCGAGCTGTCAGGAGATGTAGCCAATTCTTTCTTCACATTTTCCAACGTTAGTTGTGTTTCCAAACTTTGCTGTTCTAAGCATTGAAGTTCCAAGTTCTCCACACGTTCTTCTGTGGCACTTTGTTGCATTTTCACGTGCTCAGTTTGGACAAACTTAATAACTCTGAGCCAGATAACCCACAACTTTCGCTAAATAAATGTAATCTCGGATCTGACCCTCATCATGATACCAACTGTAATCAACAGGAAGAAAACACATATACCATAGGGGGTTTGAATTGGGTGCGATGCTCTCCCACAATGCATTGGGAACTCTCTGACGAGTCTTGCACTGCAACTCGGCCCTCTGCCATGCACGTCACCTTAGGCCACCTCATGCAAAGAGAGATAAAATTAGATCGGTGAATTAAAGAAATGTAATTCATGTGAGCTCATAACGGTACATACAACCATGTCTCATTCAGTGTGATTTGTAGCATTCTCTGTTTCCTCATTCTAGCCAAATTTATTATTAATTTTTTTTAAGCTCCAGGCGGGCCCCC